GAAGAAAAAAAAAAAAGACTGTGAATACAAACCTTCCATTTTAAGCAGGTTTCTCTAATGGTTCAAGCCCCTCTGATACCTGCCATTCAGTGAAATGCTGCCATATACCATAGCCTCACTGCAGTATATGCAGAGTAATTAAATGAAAGAAGCTAATATTCCCCATAGAGTTCTGTGTACAAAAGAGAGATGAGACAACCAAGGAATCTGAGATATGAATGAGAGAGACAGAGAGAGAGAGATTTCAGGAGAAGTGAAGTTGGAGGAAGTGGTGAGTGGAAGGAACAAAGACTCCAAAATAACCTAAGATATAAAGGTGATTGGTATGGGGTTTCTCCTCACATGTGAGATAGGTACTCAAGGCTTTTTACATTTCTATTAAATAAAATGAAGACATCAGATGAAAGACTTGGGAATGCACAGGTGGCTGGCATGTGGGTTTCACATTCACCAATCTTTCAGAGTTTGTTCTCTGGGGGTGAAATAAGTGGGTCAGGCACCATCATAAATATCCCTTTTCCCTTTGTGTAAGGGAAAAGTCGAGAGGTATAGCCTTAGTGAGTCACAGACCAAGTGGATGGGGTTTAGAAAATGGAATAACTCCCTTCAAATAGGAGAGAACAGACAAGGCTCTGGGGTGTGTTGACACTTAGTATAAATACTGAGGGCCTGAGTGATTTGCACATGGGGAACTGTGGAGTAAAGGCCATTCAGGGAAATGTAACTGATGTGAAGTCAAGCCCATATTCAAAATCCATACAATAAAATGAATGTATTGACTTTATATAATGGGTTTGTTTATGGACCTTATTCCATGAAGTCCTAATGATCACAAAGACAAAATTGTGTTTGATAATGAAATTTTAATGAAAAAATGTGCAATTAGTGTCCAAAAAAGCAAAAATATAAGCCACAAGATAATCAATAATTCTATAATCTCAAAGGACTAGCAAAAACATTAGCAAATTAGCCATTCTAGGTATTTATTACAATGAATGTTGGTGTCAGTGGGATGGTAGGGTTGCTAGACTAGAGTGATCCATATTGAATTGAAGGCAGCAAGGCACTTTTTTCTCCCTCTTCTGGGAACAATTACAGTGATGACTCCAGAGTCATTTCCTCTCCTTCTCTGTCTCTCGTTCCAGGAGTTCAATTTCTAAAGACAATTTATACAATTCCAGGGCCATTCTCACATCCTCCGGTCTCGGGAGACACTGCATGAGTTTTCTGCCTGCTTGAACTTGCTCACAGCCTGAAGGGAACTCCTAAAGGAGACATAGCTGGTGAGTGTGGTTGAGAGGTTTCTGCCCAGATTATGAGAATGGCAGGACTACAGGATCAGGTCCCAGACCAACCCTGGGTTTGATGGGTGAGCAGGAAACCAGAACACACATGGGCCCCACCATAGTCTCCCCCTGAGGGATTTAGACCTGTTCTGAGACAGCTTCCCAGAAGGCCTCTGTGGGACAGAGCTATTTTGGCCAACCATCCAAACACAGAACACAGTGTATTGTATAGTCTAGAAAAGGAAAGTTAGGAGTTAGTGCTCCTACGTCTCTGACAATGTCCTCTCCATAAGGGGCTTGGTGTTTCCTGTTCTCAAGTGAGAGCAAGACAACTTGCCACCCTAACTGACGCTTCCAGGCGCTTCCAGGGAAAACAAGAGAGCTCTTTTGAATGACTCAGGGATCCATCCTGGCAGGTCAGATCTCGCCTTTGCTGGCTGGGACAGTGCTTTAAGGTGGTACCATTTTTAGGGTTTGATAGCACAGGAACTTCCTTGAATTGTTTCACTTACCCACTCACACTTGGGCACCTCTGGATACCAGGTATGGTTCTCTAAGCAGGTGATATTTTGGGGACCGACCACAGTATAGCCAGAAGTACACTCGATGGTGACATTTTCAGATTCAACAAATTGATCCTTATCCCCAAACACCTTTCCGTGCTCTATCTCTGGTTTTGGACACAGAGCTACAATAAAAGCACAGTTAAGTAATCTGTAAATTTAAGAAAAAAAGACATGATAACAGACTAGGATATTAAAATGAACTACATGTAGGTGCTTCTAATTGTTTTATATTTTCCTATTTTGATAGCAATGATATTAGTTCCCATTTTTATTGAGGATTGACTCATATCAGTCATCTAGGCTGAGCATTTTATGTGATTTTCTCATTTAAGTCTCACTCTTCTCTATGAAGTGAGCACTCTTACTACTGCCATTTATCCAGGAGAAAATGAGATACAGAGGGGTAAGAAACTTGTTCAAGACGTAACATCTCTAAATAACATGACAGGGTATTAAAAAGCCACATGACCCCAGATTTGCAGCTGTCAGTGCAACTGTTCCTCATATTGTGTTCCACAAAAGACACCAGGGATGAAATCTTCCTTCTTGCCTATTATCTCCTGTATGCAATGATGGCAAAGTGTTATTAGACCCGTGTGCATGTAAAAATCAGACCTGATCTTGACTGCTCTTGCCCTACAACCGGTTGGCAAACTGGGAGTCCCCCACCACACACCTCCATCACGGGAAGGTGGTGCCCTGTGTGAGGCTCAGATGGAAATACCTGCCACTTCCTGGTATTTGGAATTAGTTCATGAGAGTCTGCATTCATGCCTGAGCAAGTTTCCATGGAAATTTTGCTACAGGCCACAGCTACACTCAGAGAACTTACAGCCAGTAGACGACTTCCAGAAATACACAAGCAAGTGGGAATCTGGGCTGCCTCCAGGAGGCTGAATTGTGTAACTGGGAGAAAGAAGTAGGGCACATTCATGTTCCTCTGTGTCCCTCAAACTTTTTTGTTTTGGGTACCATCTAAATATAATAATTATTTAAAATAAATCAAATCAAATGTTTTTGTTCTGCTTCTGGCTAGAAAGAAAGTTTATTCTCAATCCCTCCATGACAGTTCCACCCACTTAGCCATGGGCTGGAGTTACCTTTACATTGAGGAGCCGGAGCTGACCAGCGTGAACTACTGCAGGAGAGTATGGCCTCTCCAACCAGAGTGTATCCTTCATCACATTCATATTTAACTTCCTTAGGTTGGAATAAGTATGAAGGTATTCGTATAAAATGTCCGTGGTCAATATAAGGAGGATAAGCACAACCTTGGTGGTAAAACAAAAAAGTGAGAGAGCTTGGGTTTATAGAATATAAAACACAACACATCCCAGAATCTGTGTGGTTTGTAGGAGCCTTTGTCCTGCCCTGTTATCTTCTCTGCTCACAGGATCACTTAGCCAAAGCCAAGTACCTGTGCTGCCCTCCTGCAAGCCTCAGAATGAACCATCATGGCACTTTATCAGACCAACATGGTGATATTTTGATTATCTTCAAAAGTATAATCTGAGTAAACAAAACTGGTAGGTAGTTCAATCCCCATATTGGATCATTGGTCTATGGGTTAAGAGCAATCATAGCCATAAAAACAGAGTAGAATCTATTGATCTTACTAGGCTCCTCCTTCCTGAAGCAAAGAAAGTCAATTTAAAATATATATCATATTAACCAATGTCACCCCAATAAATTACATACATGAAAAGGGACAAATTAATGCCACTCAAAGAACTAAAGATGCAGGTGTGATCATCCTCATCATATCTCCATTTTATTTCCCCTGTCTGTCTGCTACAGATATTAGAATTCTGTAGAATTATAGTAGAATATTGAAAACTCAACATTTCAGCCCCTATTGCAGCCACTGTACCAGATGTAGTATCTTTGCTAGAGCAGACTAATATGTATTCAGGTAAATGAGGACACTGATTTAGCAAAGGGCTTCTTTCCCATTCTATTCGAAAAGAAGCTCAGAAACAGTTTGCATATGCATGAAAGGATCAGGATCATACATTTTCTGTTTTATCCCCAGGCAATGATAATGCATGTGCCCCTCCTATAATTGAGTCTGAAGTTATCATGAGCATCTGGACATCCAAATACTATCATATTAATGTACTATATTAATGGTGTCCTGTTAATTCTACTGAAGGAGCAAAAAGAAGCTAGCGTGCATGATATGAAATAGTGGAAAATATCTATATATCTATATTGATATAGAAATATCAATATATACAGATATATAGATACACATATCTATATCGAGTTTCTGACAGAGAACTCCTAAAGCCCTTGTAATTTCCTACATGAAAAGAGCACTTGAAGCATCTTTTCTTCTAATGAGGTCACTCTGGCTGGGCTCTTGGATGGGGGCTGGTCACCAGAAGGACCAAGCAAAGATCAGAAGCTTGGAATTTTCCCATATTCCAGAGAGAGCCTCACAACAGAATTAAAAATTGATCATGCCTACATGAGGAAGCCTCCACAAAGTCCCAACAGTAGGGGATTTGAAGAGCGTCCAGGTGGGTGAACACATCCACCTACCAGGAGGGTGAAGCACTCCCAACTCCACAGGCACAGATGGTCTATGTTTGGGACCTTCTGGGTTTTGCCTTATGTATTTCTTCACCTGGCTCTTCATCAGTAGTATTTATCAATCCTTTAATAAATTGGTAAATTAAGTATTTCCCTGAGCTCTGTGAGCCTCTTTAGCAAATTAATTAAACCCAAGGAGGTGGTCAAAGAACCTCTGATTTGTAGCCAAAGTTGGCTACAAGAAGTTGGGGGTAATCTGGGGACCTACTACTTGTGACTGGTGTCTGCAGTGGGGTGAGACCAGTCCTGTGGGAGTGAGCCCTTAACCTGCGGGATCTGATACCACTTCCAGGTAGAGAGCGTCATGAGTGAGTTAAATTGGAGGATTGAGAATCATGTGGGGAAACCCTCTCACACATTTGGTGACTGTAAATGTTGCCAGTGTTCTGTGTGAGTAGTAAAGGAGACACAGGAAAAACATAAGATGCAAAAAGTTTGTCTTTTTCAGTTCATGTAATGATGCTGCAGAGTATAGAAGGTAATGAATGATTAAGGAGTTTGCTACAGCAGTAAAATTGTTAGAGGTCCAGGGTTCAGAGCATGCTAGGCTATCCCATCTAAACTAAAGCTGAATTACTGTAAGTTGCATGTCCGCCACAAAGAAGGAGTCACAATGGCTAACAGGCCTTTTCAGATTCTAGAGGCAGCATGTTCCATACTTGGGAATACTATTCCAACCCTTATGCCAGGTGACACAAAAGATAGTCAGGTTTGAATGGGGCCCAGGTTAGGAGAGGCCTCTGTGGCAAGTTCAGTCAGCAGTGAAATCATTCCTGTCGCGTAGTCCCAGGACCCTGCATAGCCTAGGGTGTAGAGGTGGCTATAGTAAAAAGAGGCAGCTTTGGTAGGAAAAGGTACAAATGTCAATGGGATAATCACACCATAGACCCTTGAAATACTGAAGTAAGGCCTAATTTCATTGATTCAAAAAAGGAAACCAGGAAGGTCAAGAGAATGGGAACAACCAATATGGGGAAAAAAGAGAAATTTGGATTAGATACAGTGTTTTTAAACAAATATTTACTCCAAGAATCATGCAGCGTATCCAAATTCTTTTACCTAATTTGAAACCTTTCCTTAATAATCTCCATTACTTTGTTATGAAGAAACTTCAAAAGTAACATAATTCCATAAGCTCTTACTCTCATCACATGTTGGTGTATCAGGACTCCAGGTGCCATCTCCTTGGCAGGAAGCTTCAACACTTCGTCTCCCACTACATGAATACCAAAGCGAGTCCCCATAGAAATATTCACAGTTACTGGCCAAACTTTTCTTTTTCTGGGTAGTGATTCTGCCATTCTTTAGGTCTGGTACTGGGCAACATACCTCTTAAAAATAAAAAAGTGAGGCTAATGGTTAGTAAAATCACCATGAGGAGGCTCCTATGGCTGACCAATCTCTTCCACCATTGGAAGAGCTCACCACAGAAGAGAAATTGGGAAAACAGACAAGGGTATGCAAGACACTTTGTGTCCTCGCTCCCTGTCCCTGATTTGCTATAGTCCAATACAGTCATTTCCCCCAAACTAAATCATTTCATTAGGAGTCTCCAAAATGAGATGTTGGATTAAACCTGTATGAAAATGTAAATTTTCAAAATTATTCAAGAGCAATGACAAATAACATTTATCTCCTTATGGCTTCATTAGGGTCACATCATTATTGAGCTTTCAAATAACGTATACTTCTCCAATCACAGAAGGAAGAATGTTCTCAAAAGTTTATATCTATCTGACAGTGAATGCATAGAAATAAATTTAAATATTGCTATGCCCAGGATTTTTCTTTTTTGATGCCAAATTTAAGAGAAATAACTATTCAGATTCTTTCATTTTTAATGCAGTAAGATCTGATATAGGGATATAAAATTTTTCATCAGTAGAAATACTTTCAGATAGAACAAGATGGTATTTGCAGTAAGAGAAAACATCAGAAGAAAATAAAATGCTCTATTCTCTGTATCAGGAGCTTGACCAGCAGTACAGTGTGGTCTTGCAGTTTTACTCCAATACTCCCAGCACTCATTTGCTTATGAATTATAATAAAAATACCCAACATTCACATGATTTCTAAATTGTAACAATATTTGTGTAATGCTTTACATTGTAGAAAATACTTTTAAATATTCAATTCATGAATCCAAAGTCATATTTAATCAGATTTTATGATAAATTGGGTAAGTGCCATTGCACTTTTGCTTTTTAAATGGTTAAAGTGATCATTTGTTCAAAATTAAACTGATAAGATTATAGTAGATATATAATTTAAAAGTAGTTTTTAAACATGTATAAACATTTATACAGTAATATTTAATATATTAATTAATTTAACTTTTGTTGTTTCTTATTCTTTAAAGAAGATTCTCAAAGGCTTGTATAAGTCAATACTTTGTTATTTAAGTGGTGGCAATAATTTTTGTTAAGTATATTTTTAATTCAGTAATTTTGTTAAAATCTTTTATTCTATTTCCGCAAAATGAGTCTGAATAATTGCAATTAAACCATTAGTCCTAATATGAAATTAATAATCTTTCAATAGGATGGCCTAAACTATTCATTATTTATGCATTTCTCATGTTTTTCAAATCTTATCTATAGAATAAAGTTTCCTATATTCTGGGTCTCAGTGTCTTCACCTCTGAAACAGCAAGGTTCTGACAGATGTGTTGAAGGAAACATTTTCTTCCTCTCTTGTCAATTCATGGGCTTCTACCCATGTTTCTGCCCCTCACTCCTCTCAGAAAACAAAGGGACATCTTCTACTAATGAGACTGGAGTCTCCTTTCTATCCTACTGAGGCAAGAATACTGTGGCAGGGTCTGTCTGCCAGGACCCAGCTCTGTCAGCCTGCAGTCCCAGAACCCAGCTCTATCAGTCCACAATCCCATGCTCAAGAGACAGGAGGCACAAGTCACCTTGCAGCTGGTTGAGTTCATGATGCTTTCACAGACTTCCATCCATCAAGCACTCCAAAATCTACATTATAATTAAAAGGGCTGATGGATCTCTGACCCTGGCAAAGTTAAACTATATTCTTCATCTACCATTACCAGTAATGAAGTAATACTTAATCAGCATAATGTTTGACTTCTAAACCTGGGATAAGGGAAGGTTATAATTTCTCAGCACCTCAAACTTCAAAACCTTTATGGTCTCTTCCGACAATAATAGTCATTCTACTGAATTAGTATAATTATAAATTTATCTTAAGGAATACAATTATATTCATTTAAGGTAGAAAATCTTATCATGTGCTGGCATTTAATACACTAAAAGATTTTAAAAACAGAAACTCACCCTCACATTCTGTATATGGGGTCCAGCTAAAATTTCTCTGACAAGCCACAGTCATGGGCTTATTTCCAGCTGGTTTATAGCCAGGATGACAGCGGTACCTCAGTACAGTTCCAACTTCATACATTTCACCTTTCGTTGGTCTGTGGTAGCCATGTATTTCCCAGGAAGAGTGTGGGATATCTGGCAAGTCAGTACAACTATCTGTTCATGAAAGAACAAGGGAAAAGGACAGCATTACTAGGGATGCAACATGATCAGTGAGCCTGTCCTATCAAAGGGTGTCATGTGTTCGTTCCTTCAGGGATTACCCAGCCTGCCATGGCTAATGAATCAGCCACACCAGAAAACACGCACTTGGCACTATTGCTCAAATAGACATGTGTACAACACCAGAGAAGTTCTTACTAAACATTATTAAATGGTTTCTGTGAGTCCTACCAACTATGCAAACGTTAATTCTCCTTGCTCCTCATTGCACTTCAGAAAGTTTCATCTCTGAATTGAATTAGGCTTGCTAGATAGATGTGTCTGGAAAACCCATCTGGGATTTGTCCCAGACAAATCTTTCTTATTTCCTGACTGATTGGGAAAAATAAACAAGTTATTTCCCTCATCCAGATGACACCAGGCACTTTATCACTAAAGGGTTGATCAAGGACAAACAAACTCCAAGCAAGTTTTGAGCCTTGTACTTGTGTCTTGTCATCTTTACACTTTCCCGATACTACTGATTTATATCATATGGGAATATAATACAAACATCTGCCAAGTTGGGGCTGTGAGAAGGAGGGTGGGGGAGATAAGAACTGGTATTGTCACCCAGCTGTGCCCACCACCAAGTGTAGATATTCCACAGTCCAGTGATGGGAGATAGCATTTGGCTGCCAAAGCCACTGGAACAGCTCTCCTGCAAGGCAGAAAATGGCACCTGAATTTGTCACCAGATGCCCCACTTGGATTCTCCCTATGTAATGAAGGTCAGAATAGAGGAGCAGACACTAATGTCTGGCTGCTGCCACCTGAAGCCTGGGACTTTGAAAAATGCTATCACAAGATGTTTACTGGAAGCTAAATCCACTCCAAATAACTATTACACCCCAACAATTTGGGGAAGACAGGAATTGCCATGCATGAGTCCACTGTAAATAGTTATCCCAAAAGACTGCTGGGGACTGGGTACATACCCTGGCTCCAATGTAATATCTCCCACTGTTTGTTCCAAGTCTCTATAGATTATGTTAGATAAATGCTTATTAATTTATTTTAATTCATTTGATTAATCTCCAGAGATCTTAAATGGTTGACTTTGCTAATTATGACCACTTATTAGATTGGAAAGAAGTTTTCTGAAGTGTTTACACCACTAATCTAGAAGTTCCCAGGGTAAGGTTCTTGACATTTAATAAGAATAAAAGTGAGAGTTCAAGGCATATATGGCTTCCTCCCATTTCCAGCTGTATGACCTTGGGGAAGTCACTTAATCTTGGCAGATTTCTCATCAGTAAAATGAGTACAATGATAGTGCCCACAATTTGTGGGAGGATTAATCAAATAAATTCTTGTTATATACCTAGAATAGTGCCAAATTATCATTGTTACTATTCATAATATTTTTTATTTTTAATTATAATTTACTTTCAATATTATTCTATATTAGGTTGAGGTGTACAGCATAGTGGTTAGACAATCATATACTTGACAAAGTGGTCCCCCCCAAATTTTAAGTATCCACCTGGCCCCATATATAGTTAATACAATATTATTGACTGTATTCCCTATGCTGAAATTCACACTCGTATGACTATTCTGTAACTACCAGTTTGTACTACTTAATCCCTTCAGCCATCCAAGCCCCGTACCCTCTAGTACCCATCAGTCTGTTCTCTGTATCTATGAGCCTGTTTCTATTTTGTTTGTTTAATTATTTTGTTCTTGAGTTGCCACATATAAGTAAAATCATATTTGTTATTTTTTATGATCCATATGAGTTTATAATTTCAGAATGTCAAAATCATAGTTCATACAATAGTTTTATACAAGCTAGAAAGTAAGGCATTTTTCCTCAGGATACTTTGTTATTTATCTTTCAAAACAATTATCATAATATAGTTTTTTAGAACAAAAAAATTTCTATCAACTGCAAGAAAACTGTTGGAAATAAATATACTAACCTACAGCATCTGCTGTGTTACTGTTTCTCCCTAGGGAGTGTGTACAACCTGCACAACTGCATGGGACAGTCTTATATGATGTTTTATGATCTTGCACAGTGTACTGTAATCAGACTTTTTTCCAACAAGAAAAAAATAAAGAAAATTATTTATCAAAATTTAATTTTTTTCTGTGATTCAAGTGGTCTTAGGCATACAAATATTCCCTCACCAATATTTTAAAGATACCATGGTATCTTTCAAAAAAATTTAATGTATTGATTTTAGAGAGAGTGAGAAAGAGAAAGAGAGAGAGACATTGATTTTGTGTTACATTTATTTATGCATTCATTGGTTGATTCTTATATGTGCCCTGATCAGGGATTGAACCTACAACCTTGATGCACTGGAACAATGCTCTAACCAACTGAGTAACCCGGCCAAGGCCTGGCCAAACATTGAAATTCCTTTATGGTCCATACTTACTGATCTCACAGATGGGAGGAGTTGGATGCCAGTTGTTATCAGCTCCACAATGGATTAAATTGCTGCCTTTGAGGATAAAACCTTTATTGCAGCCAAATGAAATAGAGTCTTTGTACTTATAGTTGGGTCCAAATCCAACGAGTATCTTTCCATTTTTAACATCTGGCTTAGGACAGCTGATTCCTAAAGAATCATAAAAAAATACAAGTGAATTATAAAGAGAAATGGCAATAAGGATATTACTGTTATTGTTAATCCAGTTCCATGAATAACAAAAAGCCTGACATAATACCTATCAATTACATACAAGGAAAACATTTTTAAAAGCATATATATAATTTCAGCTTTTATAAGTCTCAGTAAAAATGAGGTCCCATCACATTGATTCTATTATCAGATGGTTGTGGGTAATTCCAACTTCCTCATTTTTCTCAAGAAAAACCAGTCATATATAACCCAGAAGAAACACATTTCTCAAAGTTCACAAACCTTTCCCTTATAATAACCTACTTTCCTGGATGATTTTGGTGGTAGGTCAGTGGCAAATGGTAATTATATAACATTCATGATGATGAGGCAGCCAAGGCATCAGAGATCTGCACCCTCACAAGCAAAGAACAAATTGCCCCCACCCATAGCATTCAGTCAAGTCCTGCCACCTTTATTCCTCTACAATCCCTCAACTTCTCTCCAGGCCCACTGCCTGCCTACAAATGAAGCCATTTTCACTCCTTGGCTAGATGGTGCCTATGGGTTAAATTTTGTCTCACTTCAAATTGTCGGCCATTCTGCAGGCAGTCACCTTTCTAAAACGCAACACGTAAGATGGCAGCATGGGCAGACGACATGGCTGACCTCTTCACACAACCACAACAAAACTACAACTAAAATATAGAACAACCATCACTCAGAACCATCAGAAATCAAGTTGAATAGAAGTCTGACAATTACAGAATTAAAGAAACCACATCCATCCAGACTGGTAGGAGGGGCACAAATGAAGAATGGGTTGCTCCCACACCCACTTGTAGTGGATAAAAATTCAGAAGGAATATCTTGGGAGTGAGGAGTCCCAGGCCCACACCAAGCCCCCAGCCCAGGGTTGAGTGCTAGGAAGATAAGTCCCCACAATTTCTGGCTGCAAAAACCAGTGGGGATTGAGTCAGTGGAAGAAACTGTTGGAGCACCAAGCAGTTCCTCTTAAAGAATCCACACACAGACTCATCTACTCAGACTCACTCCCTCTGAGCTCCAGCACTGGAGTAGCAGCTTCAAAGTCACCAGTGATATAGAGGGAGGAACTGAACTGTCTGGAATCAAGGCAAGCACAGGCCATTGTTCCTTTTCTAAACCCTCCCACCAAGGAGCCACCAAGCTCAGGCCATATCTGAGACTCCATCAATCTGGCTACTACTGTTTGACCCCACTTGGGGATCACCAGAGACTCTGCCCAACCCAAATTACAGGCCCTCCCAAGCTGCTTTTTCATAAAAATGGCGGATCTTGGTTTGTGCTTCACAGCTTCCTAAATCCTCTCAAACAAACAGCAGTTGGCCTCAGTGAGCTCCAGGCCTGGAACTAGCAGCCTAGATTCATAGCTTGGCTTCACCTGAAGTCTCCAAGCCGAGCACAAGTAGCAGCCATTTCATACTGCCTTATAACTCAGGAAAGGTGGCCCCAGGGAAAACACAGGTAAGGGCTGATCATGGCCTGCACCACCCGGGAAATCCCAGGGCTAGCACACCCAGTGGACAGCTACAGACCACATTGGAGCACCACCACCATGCACCTACACAGCTGATCCTCCACGGAGGGCAGAGGTTGGTGGTAAGTCAGTCCTTACAGCTGACTGGCCTGTGTAAATCCCTCCCATTGATCTGCCAACAGCAACCAAGGCTCAACTACTCTAAGAGGAAGGTGTACTCAGCCCACACAAAGGGCGTACCTCATATTACCAGCTTGGGTGGTAGGGGATGCTGTGCCACTAGACCCTATGAGACACCTACAATATTAGGCCATACTACCAAGACTCAGGGTCAAAGCAGCTGTACTTAATACATAGAAACAAACACAGGGAAACTGCCAAAATGAAGAGACAAAGAAACATGGCCCAAATGAAAGAACAGATCAAAACTCCAGAAAAAGAGCTAAACAAAATGATGTTAAGCAATCTATCAGATGCAGAGTTCAAAACACTGGTTATAAGGATGCTCAAGGAATTTAGGGAGGACCTCAACAGCATAAATAAGATCCAGTCAGGAGAGTTCTAGCCGAGATGGAGGTATAAGTAGAAACACTTTGCTTCCTTGCACAACCAAAAGGAAGGTAACAACCCATCTAAAATTAATATAACCAAAATCACCAGAAAATCAAACTTCATGGAACTCCAATGACCAAGGAATTTAAAAAAAAATCAACCAGAAAAGCCAGACCAGCAGCACTGCAGAGCAGCAAAGAGGGTTGCCCTGCCTGGGTGAATACGTAAGGCCCCAACCCCTTACAACCTAACATCTGCGCCAAGACAAAGAAATATGGCCCAAATGAAAGAACACAGTAAAATCTCAGAAAGAGAACTAAGCAATGAGGAGATTACCAACCTATCTGATGGAGCATTTAAAGCGCTGGTAATCAAAATGCTCACAGAACTAATTAAGCTTGATCAAAAAATAAAAGAACAAATGAAAGATACCCAAAATGAAATAAAGCAAAATACTTAGGAAACCAACAGTGACAAGAAGGAAACCAGGATTCAAAACAATGATTTGGAACAAAAGAAAGAAACAACCATCCAACTGGATCAAAACAAAGAAAGAAGAATCAAAAAAAATGAAGAGAGGCTGAGAACTCTCTGGGGCAACCTGAAACATTCCAACATCCGAATTATCGGGGTGCCAGAAGGAGAAGAATAGCAGCAAGAAAATGAAAACTTATTTGAACAAATAATGAAGGAAAACTTCCCCAATCTGGCAAAGTAAATAGACTTCCAGGAAGTCCAGGAAGCTCAGAGAGTCCCAAAGAAGTTGGATCCAAAGAGGAACACACTAAGACACAACATCATTAAGTTAACCAATATTAAAGACAAAGAGAAAATCCTAAGAGCAACAAAAGAAAAGAACAGTTACCTACAAAGGAGTTTCCATAAGGCTATCAGCTGATTTCTCAAAAGAAACCTTACAGGCAAGAAGGGGCTGGAAGGAAGTATTTGAAGTCATGAAAAGCAAGGACCTATGTCCAAGATTACTCTATCATGCAAAGCTTTCACTTAGAATGGAAGGGCAGATAAAGTGCTTCCCAGATAAGGTCAAGTTAAAGGAGTTCATCATCACCAAGCCCTTAATATATGAAACATTAAAGGGATGTTTAGAAATATCCTAAGAAAAAAAGATAAAAAATACAAGCAGTAAAATGACAACAAACTCACAACTATCAACAAATGAACCTAAAAGAAAAGGAAAACAATGAAAACAAAAACTAAGCAAACAACCAGAACACGAACAGAATCAGAGAAATGGACATCACACAGAGGGAGTTCAGTGGGGAAGGGGAAGGGAGGAATAGGGGGGAAAGGTACAGGGAAGAAGCATAATTAGTAGGCATAAAATATATTAGTAGGCATAATTAGTAGGCATAAAATATATTAGTAGGCATAATTAGTAGGCATAAAATATATAGTAGAGATAAAAATTGGTATAGGAAACAGAGGATTCAAAGAACTTATATGTACAACCCACGAACATAAACTAAGGTGGGGCAGGATGCTGGAGGGGTGGGAGGCAGGGTAGAGGGAGGATAAAGGGGAAAAAATTGGGAAAACTATAATAGCATAATCCATAAAAAATACTTAAAAAATAATAAATAAAAGCTCAAAAAATAAAATAAATAAAAGGCCTCACATAACAATACAAGAAAAAAAGAAAGAAGATCCAGTCAGAAATGAAGTATACACTAATTGAAATAAAGAACAATTTATAGGAAAACAACAGTAGAGCAGATGAACCCAAGAATTAAATCAAGGACTTGAAACATAAGAAACAAAAAAAAAACAACCAATAAGAATAGCAAAAAGAAAAAAGAATTTTAAAAAATGAGGATAGTATAAGCAGCCTCTGAGACAACATCAAGAGGTCCAACATTCACATCATGGATGTGCCAGCAGGAGAAGAGAAAGAACCCAATTTCATGATGTGAAATTGGAAATCTATTTGAAAAAATAGTGAGAGAAAATCTCCCTAATTTGGTGAAAAAAATAGATATGCAAGTCCAAGAAGCACAAAAATTCCCAAACAAGATGAATGCAAAGAGACCCACTCCAAGACACATCATAATTAAAATGCCAAAGGTTAAAGATAAAGAGAGAACCTTAAAAGCAGCCAGAGAAAAGAAATTAGTTACCTACAGGGGTGTTCCCAGAAGACTGTCAGCTGATTCTCAAAAGAAACTGTGCAGGCTAGAAGCAATTGGCAAGAAATATTCAAAGTCATGAAAAGCAGAGGCCTATAGCCAAGATTGCTGTACCTAGCAAAGCTATGATTTAGAATCAAAGGGCAGATAAAGAGCTTCCCAGATAAGAAAAAATTAAAGGAGTTAATCATCACCAAACCATTATTATATGAAATGTTAAAGGGAGTTATTTAAGAAAAAGAAGATGATCAAAACTATGAATAATAAAATGGCTATATATGTATGTTTGTGTATCTACATATATATAGCCATTTTATATATATATATTTATATATTTATAAATATATCTTTATACATACACACACATACACACCAAGAATTGAATCTAAAAAACAAAATAAACAAACAAGAACAGAGAATCATGGATGCTGAGAACGTTTTGATGGTTGCCAGATGGGAGGGGAGTAGGAGAGAATGAGTGAAGAGGTGAGGGGATTAAGAAGTACAAATAGGTAGTTACAGAACAGCCACGGGGATGTAATGTACAGTATAGGAAATGGAGTAGCCAAAGAACGTATACGCATGACCCATGGACGTGAATAATGGTGGGGGAATTGCTTGAGGGAGTGGAGGGTGCTGGGTGGAGGGGACAAAGCCAGAAAAATCAGGACAACTGTAACAGCATAATCAACAAAATATTTAAAAAATAAAATAAAATGCAACAGGTTAAATCCCCTGGTTAAAGTCTTTCACTGCCTCCCCATCACCTTCATCCTGAACTCCTGAGAGAAACACATGAGGCCCTTTATAACCTTTATAATACTTTCCAGCCTCAGTATTTGTCATTCTCACCTCCCATAGTCTAGACTCCACACATTGAACTGTTTGCAATATCACACTTGCATCCCCTAATTTGATTGTGTCTTACAGGGAATCAGAATAACAAGTGATACTATGTAGGCACTGAGTGGCAAAGGAGGATTAGCAAACTAGCAAAACCACAATATATCTTTTGCCTCAATTACTGCTTACTTGGTCCTGATAACCTTCTTAATAGGTTTAGCTTACCCTGTACACATATGTGGTTGACATTACATGTACTAACCAAAACTTCCAGCTTGGATTCCTGAACAGACAAAAGATGACATTTCCAAATTTCCTTAGGGTTGATAGGGTTTACACAGTACTAGTTTTAGACTAAAGGCTGCAATGTAAAGTGGTATGTGGTTATTTCCAGGCCAAAGTTCTTAATAGCCAGAGCACAATTTGTTTTTCTCTCTTCTTCTACTGATGACTTTGTGAAAGTGCTTTTTGATGTGGAGGTACCACAAGAGTCAACCTGGAATGCTGAGGTGGTTGCTAAACTAACATCTAGAGTCTCCTGGACTTGAAGTACACTTGGTGTGCATGAGAATCAACTTCTTCGCAAAGCCAATGAGATATTGGCACTGTTTGTTACTATATTGTAATGGTACAGCATGCATCAGCATCAGTGAACCAAATAAATGACTTTCATTATTGCAATAAGTAGCTTCCTTTTGAATCATTTTATTTACCCCAATAAATTTACTTTCCTTGCTCCTTTACACAAAAGAGAAAAATTCAAAGGAGAATCCAACAATTCAACTTCAACTTACTTTTACAAGTAGGAGGGCTGGGGCTCCAGACGCCTTGTGTTTTATTCACCACTGTGCAGGAAATGGAAGCTTCACCTAACATTGAGAAGCTGGGGTCACAGCTGTAGGTGACCGAAGAGCCATATGTATAGACATCTTCACTTCCACCACTGTACTTCCCATTGCTGATGTCTGGAGGGGACTCACATTGGGCAACTGGGATGATTAAGCAAAGAGGAAAAAATAATCAGGGAAGTCATCTACCAAATCTCACATTCATGATGCAAATTCTAATGTAGCATACAAAAAGTAGCAAATATGCACAGGAGTTTTATTACCTAACATAGTATAAGTTTATAGTCAAATCAGAGAAAGTCTTTACTTACTTACACATTCCGGGAAAGAATTACTCCAGCCAACTGTTTTATCTTGGAGCTCACAATGACTAGTGGTTGGGCCCACTAAGATATATCTGAATAAAATAGGATCAGAGATTTTAATGGAATTGTTCCTACCCTAAATTAAATGACATAAAAGCTTCTCATCAAATAGAATTGTGACTCAGCACTAAAAGTGAAGAAATAATGTTTTCTCAGATAACACTGCCCATTGACCACTCCACTTAGTAAAATTTCACCACTTCAATGAGATGTGTGTGTTCATTTGTTCTTTTATTCTGTTTATTGAGCATCTACTAAATGTCAGTCATGGAGTTCATCCAGAGTTCAAGCAAGACAATATGGTATTTAAGAAAACTCATTTGAGTGTGTTATGCAGTTTGGGTGAGAGTACCAGCTAGATAACTGCCTTCAAACTCCTCTGGTTTACAGTTGCCTTTAGATTTCCAGAGGCTTGCCCTCACCCATACGCCATTAATTCCCTGTCCACGATCCACATATTTATACTCTTGACAATTTCTAAGCTTTCTGACCTTATGCATTATGGTAACAGGAAACAAAAATGATTATTACCATGTTTTCAAAGTGTAATGTCATCAAAGAATAACCTACAGTATGACTGAACACTAACATAAATGCTACCTTCAACAATTTAAGAGTCCCTCGAGTTTATTTAATGATAATTTATAGAAAACAAATCATTTTTAAAAAATCATTAAAAGAAAATCTTTTACTAAGACAGAATACAGTGAGAATTAAATATGTCTTTATTTTAAAATTTCTCTAAAATGCATTTTTTCTATCCTAGCCCAGAAAACCAGTGAAAAGCACTGTTTTTGGTTATTCCAACAGGAACACATCAATGTGCCACAGCACCACAGTGCTGAATTGTCTCACTTTCCTTTTTAGCAGATATTCACAATAAGGAAAATAGAGTAAACATGAGAAAATAAAAAAAATAAGATGAATATAACAAAAAAAGATCAGAGAAAAACGTGAGGTATAGATGACAAGCAAAGGAGGATCAATTTATACTTAATTGGAGAATGTGAAGAAGAAACACACACAAAAACAGCTACTTCAAATGCATTTCAAATAAATGTTACAAAACTAGAATAACACTTTAATCTAAAAAATTGTGTATCACATAGCAACAAAAATTAAACAAAATGGCTTGTATCAAAACAACTAAGAGTAGGATTATTAGATTTCAAAGATAAAGAATAACAATATCTTTGGACAGCTAAAGACCAAGTCACACACAAGAATAAGAAATCCAGGTAGGCATCCGAGGTCTCTACTAACACCCACTAAAAAGGATATGCAGCAATATTTAGAAGATAGTCAAGAAAAGAAATTACGAGTCAAGAACTTTATATCTGGTCATGTTATCCTGTAAGTATCAAGGCCTCAGATAATATTGAACCTGTAAGAACTCAATTAACAATTTTTACTTGGAGCTTTTCTTTTAGGAGATCACTGGATGACAAACTGTAGCTAACCACATGATGATATGGGACATTTCAGGCAAAAGTGAAAACACAAAACATCTGGCATTAAGCACTAAAAATACAGATCTGGAACAAAGACAAAGGTAGGGTGACTGAATGAAATGTAAATATTATATGCTCTGACAGTGTGGAAATAATATAACTGACAAATAATAGCAGATAAAGGAGAGAATGGAAAATAAAACAAACTCCCTCATTGCCTCATCTGCAGGAGTTGGGACTGAAATCAAGCTGTAGGCATATTTGAATATTTAACAGTAATGTTAAATATAAATGCTAAAATAATAAAAATGACATAAATTAACTGGTAAACAAGACAGAATATGATAGGGAAGACAGGAGAGAATACAAGATCAGTTTACTGTTGCTCATAACAAGGAACAAAATTTTTTGAATTAAGAAAACTTTTATGAAACTATAAAACTCATATAGAAAATGAATTAATCATGAATGCATAGCTCAATATATTTTCACCATAAGAAAACAAGTACTGTTAGAAATATTCTGGAAGAAAACAATAATAAGTAGGACTACCATACTGGCTATTAAAACATATAAGGCCTCAATAGGTAGATGACTATGAAATGGGTATATGAATATATAGGCAAAACAATGGCATTGGTATACTTTGAAGAAAAGTTTTAGTTCATATTAGAAGCGAGGTCTAAACCCTAATATACATAGGTTCATGTGTGTATATGATAGGAAAAGTAGGTTTACAGTTGTCTGTATGGAAAATAATATAATAATTAATAATTAATAATATAAGAATAAACTCTGGTTTCACAAACTTACAACTGTAAACCTACTTTTCCCCATGCTGTGTGTGTGTGTGTGTGTGTGTGTGTGTGTGTGTGCACACGCGCGCGTGCACCCTAGGAATTAAGAATAAAAAGTTAAGTCAAGAGAAAAAAGTAGGCAAAGAACATACCCAATAGTTTACTAATAAACACAGACATCTCTTAAACATATAAATGCTCAACACCACTCATAGTAAGAAAAATATACATTGAACCTATAGTGCGATTTTATTTTTACCTCTTAAATTGGAAAATTTTTAAAAATTGACAAGTTTTCCAAAGTTTGACACCACACTTGATCGGAAAGTTTATAGAGAAATAAGCATGTGCATACTCTGCAAAACCATGTGACCCCAAGGGAGAACAATTTGCAATACCTTTCAAATTTTAAAATATATGTATTCTTTGACTCAGAAATCCCACTCTGGGAATTTACCCTACAGATATAACTACATATTTACAAAACGATATGTGGCAAGGTAATTCCTCAGAGCACTGTTCAGAATAGCAAAGGACTAAAGACATCCATGGATCAACCAGAGATTACTAATTCATGACATTTCCCACAATAAAATTTAATGCCATTGAAAAAGGAAATTAATGGAGAGCTTCTTTATACACAAACATGGAAATATCTCCTGTATATATTCATAAGAAAAAATAAAGCAAGATTTTAAAATTACCTTTGTGATTGAAAAGGTGCAAAATAAAAATGTATTGTATTTGTATTTGTAAAATTAAACACTAGAAAGACACATTAAAAAACTAATAAAAGTAGATCCCCATTTAAGGACAAGGTATGAATGGGGTAGATGGTGAGAGAGTGAAAGCAAGGATTCCACATATACCTTTTGGATCAGTTTTATTTCTGAAATATATAAACACCTTAGCTAAAGGTTTTTTTTTAAGATTTTATTTATTTTTAGAGAGGGAAGGGGGGAGAGACAGACAGACAGACAGACATACAGACACATCAATGTGCGGTTGCTGGGGGCCATGGCTTGCAACCCAGGCATGTGCCCTGACTGGGAATCGAACCTATGATGCCTGGTTTGCAGCCTGCGTTCAATCCACTGAGCTACGCCAGCCAGGGCGCTAAAGGTTTTTTAAAGCGTTGTTTCTAGATGGCCTCGCACTCACCCTTCTAAACAGTTGAATTCTATATGTGATCCAAAAGAGTAATCTGTCTTAATGATCACTCGCCCATTACGTAATTCTCCTGGGTTGCTGCACACTTTCTCTGTGAGAAAAGTTAAAATAAGGATGAGTGATTTCAGGTACTCACAGATATGACATTAGAAAAGGAAACAGGCCAAAGAACTTACATGTACCACCCATGAACATGAACTAAGGGAGGGGGGAAGGCTGGAGAACTGGGGGGTGCAGGGTGGAGGGGGTATTAAGGGGAGAAAAAATTGGGAAAAATATAATAGCATAATAAATAAAACATACTTTAAAAAAAGGAAAAAGAAAAGGAGACTGATTAGCTTTGACCTCTGCTTCTGGAAAGACCAGAAAGAAAGATCGGGAACTTATTTCTGATCCAGACTTGCTGAATTTTTACTTTGGAGGAAAAATTTTTAATTGATCTCATCTTTTTTCTGGTATATTTTACCAAATAGAGAAAATGGTCAGTTAAATCACGATGGTGGTGGAGCCTCTGGTCAAGGGTCCACCACGCTGAGCAAGGAGCTCTGCTGCATTCCATGTCAGTGGCACAGACTTTGCACTTAGACCACTCACAAATGCATGTCCTTGGTCAGAAAAGGAACAACCAAAAAAGTAGAGATTGCATGCCCTCATTATGGGAGAAAAATCACAGAAAATATTCTCATGTGAGAAAATCACAGCATCTTCTTCCAAGCACAGAAGATATTCTGGGTAAAGTTTCTTTGGAAACCATATTACTAATTTCTAGCCATTTAACTTCTTATAATTTTGTAAAGAGTGAATCTGGTTTTAATACATTAAAATTGAATTTGTAGTTAACTTTTGCAAGAATTGTTTATAGAATTAACATTGTAAAAAATAGACTTACAAAAGTCAATTTCACCAATGCTACTAGGTAGCTCCTAATTTTTCTGTTTAACTTATTTGTTTGTAGGCTTATTTATGTTTTCCCAAAAGTGGCACACAGTTATACTGAAATCAGTCACTGACAAACTGGGTGATCTCTTAGTGACCAAAAGTTTTCATTTGCATTCAGAAAGCTTTGCTCCTGAGACAACTTAACAAAAAAGTAAAAGGCACAAATAAGAAAAATAAATTATCATACTTACTGACACAGAAAAAATAGTATTCCCATTTGCCTTTTTTGTCACAGATAAGATAAGTATTTCTTGAACTGGTCCTAGTGTATCCTGGGCGGCAGTTGTATTTCAGAGCAGTTCCAGATTTGTAGTTTGTCTCATTCAACTCATTTTCGGGAAAAGCAAACTGTAAATGGGGTGGGGGACCACAATCACCTGGACACCAAAATGACAAAGAGCACCAAAAGTTATGGCTTGGGTTGCAGCATCTTAGTGTTTTCAGTAGTAGGATGTTTGGAGAAGGAACCATTCTTTTCTCCTCTAATCAAGAAAAATAATAATTCCTATTATTATATCTCTATAGTTCAGTGAATTCAGTGACTGATTAGTAATACATGTTTGCTGATAAATGATGACAAAAGGCAGAATTTTTCATCCTTTCTCTATTATATATGAGATGATTTATTTTAAAAGAATGGCTGACATGATTTCATCAGCCTGTCAGATTTTCCATATCTGTTGACTCAGATGCATTTGCACAAGGTCAAAAGTCCCTACAATTTCCCTCAACAGAGACATAACATTTTTAATTTGTACTTTTTGGACCTTTTGGATTTTGAATGATACAAAGGGAGAAACATGAAGCCCTTAAGATTTTTAAGATTATAAAAATCTTAATCCTGTTTTCCCTCTCCATTCTGGGTAAACCCAGTGGCAGTGAAAATTGTTCAGTCAGGCTGATAGCTAATATAAATTTTTCTCACATGTCATGGCTGGCAGACAGATTGGGAAATTACTGGAGAAGAAATCTAGTGAGAAGTGTCTAGAAAGAAAATAGCCTCTTTCATGGGTAAAGCAAATTCCCCTAAATTTCAAGTAACTCCAAATCCCCTTAAATTCCAAATTTCAAATAAATCCAAAATCCTGGTCAAATAAACCCTTGGTTGCTGAAGATCGATTTCTGCAAAAAAAAAAAAAAAACCTTAAGTATCTATCTCTTTGTCAGTCTTAAAAGTGGACAAGTAGATGAACTTGAAAGTTTATTGCCATCTAAACTTGTTTATTACTCACCGAGAACACTAGCCAGTAGAGCAGCCACCAAGGTCATTTGGAACAGAGTTGAGTCAAAGACTATCCACAGCCTAGAGAACGGCTGGGCTGTACTTTTCCCCTTTCTATCAAGGGTCGTATTTGGAGCTCTCGAAGGGTTCATGACCTGAGGTTTCTCCAACATTTTTCTGCTGAAAAAACTCAATTTAATAAAGTCATTGAATTCCTACTTTTCATAAAGCACTAAGCTAAATGCTACGGGATCCATGTCCTCAAGAAAATTACAGTCTATACTAGAAGAAAAAACACATGCACAAATGTTCCTACACAAGGCAGTGAGTGTTAGCTTCTGGAGTGGCAGGGGACGTGGTAGAGCTCTACTAGAAAGACAGATTAATTCCAAGTGGAGAGATAGGAGGTGGCTGTATCTGAGTTAAGTGTGCCTTAAAAGTTAGAGACTGGATACAGGGCAAACTGGGGGAACAGTAGACAATATTTCAATGTGGCTGGAAAATAGCATCTGAGATGGGGAGATGAGTGTTATGGAGAGGCCAGCTTATAGTTGTGTCTGAATCAAGTTTACGAATTTATGGACACTACTCTTTGGGGAATAAAGAGACATTATTTTTTGTTTGGAATTTTGTTTGTGGTTTGTTTGCTTTAAAGCTAAGGAATGACACATCATTGTGCTTTAAGAAGATCACTGTCTTATGTGTACATGAGAGACTGAAGAAAGAGAAGAAACAGGGAGATTGATTAAGAAGATCAGGTGAGCCACAGAGATGATCTGACCAAGGAAGTGGCAGACAATTTAGAGAAGTGGGAACAATGTAAAACAAGACAAAAAAAAAAGCAGAAAAACAATGAGATAGAGAAAAGGAGTTGAATCACTATATATAGTTTTGGGAGTTTCTTATGACAACTGTCAACTAAGACAATAAACTGTTAGGCAATTTGCGGCTTTGAAAAAAATGATTCTATATCTAGCGACATATAGATCTACATATGTATATATCTAGAGATATACAATGTACTTTCTTTATTTAATGAGATTATTTAAAAATTTGTTTAAAGCAAAGTCATGAAGGATATTTTTGTCTTCACCACTACTTTCTTTCCCTTGGGGGAAAAAACAATATACAAATTTGCATTAGAAATAGTCCTTGTCTTTAAAGGAATATATGAAGTTCACTCCAAATGAACTGTTGGGTTTTATCTCTTATTCTAATACCTCTGTTAGATCCAGATGAGTCTACACTCCCATGTGTCCATAATTTATATCAAGCACATGTCCATTTAGATGAAGGGTGTCACCTCAATATTTCCCTTAAAGATGTTTCTATCCCACACTATAGGGGGGAAAGTTTACAGTGGCCCTTCACATTATATGGAGGGGCCCAGCTTCATTGAGTAATGACCCATAGAATTTTATTTTTCCAAAATTCATTTCTGATGGAGCCATTAAATTCAACCTAATGAACAATTTATCAGGTGATATTTTTACTAAAAGTGTGTTTACAGAATTTGTATTGAATGGATTGAGGATCTATTTTATCAGTGAGGAGGGAGGAGCACTTATAAATGGAGGCTCTTCCCCATCTGTAACCTGAAGTCATCGTGGAATCAACTAGTCAACAGAGGACAGCAAAGAGGAGAGGAATAAACAAAAACTAGTGCTCGTCCCCCCTCAGGTTATGGCAGGAGGTAAAAGGCAGCCTCACATCCAAACCCTACACTGTGAGGTAGGATTTCCATCATCAGCCTCACACTAAGGCCATAGACCCAGGAGAATAGTATGTGGCCAGGCCCTGGGGCACAGACTCTGAAGTTAGACCCAGGTCATGTGGGGTGAATCCTGGTTCACCACATGAGAACTGTGTGTCCCTGGTCAAGATACTTAGTGCTCTAAACTCCTCTAAGCTTCAGTTTCCTATTTTATAAAATAAGAATAACTATACATGTCTCCCAGAATGGCTGAGAAGGGGCTTGGCTTGTTGCCTGGACATCACGTAATAAATATTCGGAAGGAATATTAGGAAAGACAGTGACAGAATTGGTGTTGCAATGTGACTCTGACAGGACCAGAACTCCTAGAAGTCAAAACATCATTATAATAATGATGTAAAATTGTAACAACAGATGACTGTATCATCTGGGATTTTAAGCCCCAGGGCAGAGGAGAGCCCACTGGACTTCGGCCAGCCCTTGGATGGGTTTTCACTGTGGCTCTTGGTAATAGTGGGACCTACAGCCACACTCAGTGGCCTGGGCTGCTTCTTTCCTCACCCTTAACTATCTTCCTGGGAGGGACTCATCGGCTCCCATGACTTTAATCACCATCCATGAATCACTCAGACCTCTGGAACCGACTGTCTCCTGCAGACACAAAACCTTATGTGCTCCATAAACTCAACTGTTCATAAAAATCTTATTCTTGTCCTATTCCCTCCCATGTAAAAATTGAACCATTCAGGCCTGCCTCCTTTATTCTTGTTGCTAACTAGTGGAACTCAAGTGCTTAGCCTGGAAGAAGTTGGCAAAAGAAAGCAATATGAGAAGGAGATATTTTTTCTGTTTCCTGCAGCTGCAGAAGAGCAGGTATCTGCATCATGAAACAGACCTTGCAAACGTCCGTTTTTTCTAAGGAAGGAGTTGTGCTTGGACTTTAGAGATTTAGCTTTGCCAATTGAAAGTAACCTTTAACCCTAGAAAAATCTATAATTCTGACTGGTTATTTCAACAATTTTTTTGTATGAGATAATATTTAAATTAACATTTGTTTTTGAAAGGTATATTTATCAGGGTTTGTTTTTTTTGTTGTTTTTTGCAAATCCAGAAATAAATGACCACTTTCCTCTTCTTTTGCAATCCTAAAAGTAAGATAAACTTTTTGATTCTTGGATTTTTTAAATTTCAACATTATTGAGGTGTAAGTGACTAATTGTAGGTTATTTAAAGTATACATGTTGGTGATTTGACATACAGATGCACCTGCAAAAGGATCCCCCACTATCTAGTTAATTAACATATCCATCATCTCACATATTTATTTTTGACCTTTTTGGCCAGAACATTTAAGTTCTACTCTCTAGCAAAGTTAATTATACAATACAGTATTATCAACTGTAGTCACCATGTTCTACACTAGGTCCTCAAACCCACATCTCATGCTCAACGTTTGTACGTTTTTACCAGCCTCTCTGTATTTCTCCCATCCCCATTCCCATCTCTAGCCCTGGCAACCACTTTTTAGATTTCGTACTGAAGCAAGCAAAAAAACATTTTTAAGTTATATTTTTCAAGGTTCAGATCAGTATTTCCAACTGTTTTATTTTTACCTCTCAGGCACCTTGAATCCAACAGATTCCAAACTAAATGTACTATCTTCCTTTGAAAGCTACGTGACCTCTGTGCTTTCTTCTTCAGCTGAAGTAGTAATCTCCACACAGCCTCCCTGACCAGAAACCTGAGTCACCCTAGCCTCCTTGCTCTTGGCCCCTTGTCATATTCAGGGTGGCCTGGTCCTATCACATTGGCCACAGCAGCAGTAGAATCTCTCACTCTCTTCTACACTACACTTCCATAGTCCAGGCTTAGGTTCTCATCATTTCCTTCACTTTACCCTAGACCACCATGAAAGCCTCCAAACATTTGTACCTAGCTTCCACATTGGTGTGGTTATAATCCTGAAAGTCTACTTACTTAAAAACTCTCATGGTTCCCAATTCCTTAAGTCCCCATACCCCTCGCTCTGCTTCTGCTCACTTAAACCATTGCGCTTCAACTTCATGAAGGTGCTTACCTTTTCTAAAACATATCCTGGAATTATTTTAAACAACTTCAGCTATTTGCATAGAATGCCTCTTGTGCATGAATGCTCTTACCTCCAGCCTCGAGATCATATGTCCCCTCCTTGATGAAGAATTTCCCAACACCACTAAGAATTATAAGTTTCTTTTATATTTCCCTAGTGTATTTCTGATACCTTAATGGTAGCATCACATTGTATTATATTCACCTTTGCCTCTTGAAGTAGATTGTAAGTTCTTGAAAACAAAGAAGTTATTCATTCAACTTTCTAGCCCCAACCTGCTATTATTGTGTGTGGAAAAAATAGTTATCCAATAAATTTGAAATAAATGAAACTCAATTTAGTTTCCTCTTAAGAACAACTAACTGCCTTCCTGAGGACCAAATGAAATAATGCGTGTGAAGTGGTTTGTAAATTTTGAAGCGATACAGTGATCTGACTTCCCTTACTAGCTCTCAGGATGTGTGGTAGCTCCGTTGACCAGGTGCAACATTTGTGGTTCACCAGCTTACTCCTTGTGGTCCCACAGCAGAACCTGCACAGAACTTAGCAGGCCCCAGAGTGTCGAGAGGGAGGTTAGGACTTAGAAGCTGAGAAGACCTGGGTCTGAGTCCCAGCAATACCATCACCTAAGTCTGTGATCTTATAGAAGCTACCTCAGCTCCTTGGATCTCAGTTCCTCATCACTAAAACAATGACATTAAACTTAGATCACCTTTTATGCCCTCAAAAGTCTACAATTCTGAAACTTCCCATGGAAAAGCTATGACTTCCCTAGCATATGCCCCCAGATTTCAGTGACATCATCACCTCTTAAACTCTTATGGAAATCAAACCAACTCAAGAGCCATAGTCAGCACTGGTCAGTGCAGTAAAATTTGAGAGGCACTGGGAAAATCGTCAGCCCCCAAATTTCTTCTTTCATTAGAGATTACTCTTTTAAGTTAGTGTGTTTTATCTAAACAACTCCTTTTAAAATTTGGGATAATATTTTCTCCAGTCTCAAGTGGAGTGTCTCCTTGCTTACACCTGCATTCTCAACTGTACCACTTTCAGACTCCAGAAAGAACTTGCTTGCACACTTTCCCTCCCATCCTAGAATATCTTATCTATCAGCTCCACCTTCTTGTATTTATATTATATTCAAATGTATCTCTACACTTAATACAAACCTTCTTGATGCTTCTTTTTATCCTGGATACTCTACTTTTTATTCTCCTTGTATCACTCTAGGTAGAGCAAGACAGGAGTCAACAAAAAGAAAAGCAGCTTAAGAATTAAAATGAACCCTGGCCGGTGTGGCTCAATGGATTGAGTGCCAGCCTGCAAACCAAAGGGTCACCGGTTTGATTCCCAGTCAGGGCACATGTCTGGGTTGCAGGCCAGGTCTCCAACAAGGGGCACATGAGAGGCAACTGCACATTGATGTTTCTCTCCCTCTCTTTTTCCCTCCTTTCCCTCTCTATAAAATAAATAAATAAAATCTTAAAAAATAATAATTAAAATGAAGACCAGGATAGTACTATGTCCTGCCCATCCAAAAAGAGCATCTCTAGAAGAAATGATAACCAACATTGCCATATTCAAAGAGCAAGGGAGAGAAAGAAGGTAAGGAAGATTAAGACCTCTAACTTCAAAACTAACTGGAGACTGAACAATATCCTCCTTATTATCAAATATAAAAGCCATGGTAAAGGAGGTATAGTAGAGTTAGTAAAACTTCCAAGGGAAATTATACCAATTTTCAGAATGTAGACTATGAAAACCAGGATTCCTTTGACCCCCTTTGGGAAGTCTGGCTTACTTCCTGCCTCAACTTTCCTACATGGATAGACAGTAAAAAGCAAGAAACCAACAGACTCGACTTTTACAAACAATAACAAGAGCAATGTCTTCTTTTCTATTTCAGTTTACTTTATGAGTATATATTATTATTCCCCCATTTATAATTAAAAATTGAGGCTTAGTGAGGTTAAACTTACTCTTCAAGTCATGTTATACACTAATATAGTACTCCTGAAAAGATTTCTGCTGAAAACACCCCCAAGTGTTTGTCTTACCCTTCCAATCGTGAACTCCTCAAAGGGCCAGACCACCAGCCTTTCTCCCAAGATACCCTAAGTAATCCACTGACCTGCAGGTAGCTGAAGAAGAAGTAGATGATTCTATCACGGTGCCTTGGATAGTCTCTCAAGGAAGAAAACTTCCTTGATCTCTAATAGTCCTAGTTCCCCCCTAGATAAGAGCTTACCAGAAAACCCTGAAGTTTGCTAGAAATTGCTCCACCAAAAAGTCCCAGAATTCCAGCCATGTGGTTGGCTGATCAGAGAGGGCTTAATAAAAATGGATGAGCGGATTCAACTGGCCCCGTGAATGATTAACAACAGAAATACAGCACCAGTGTTTACCTAATCTCTTTCCTCTTCACTAGCCCTCATTCTTGATAATATGTTGCAATCATTTATTTCTCCTTGCCAACCATTTCCCCTAAATGAAAATGTAATGTGAATTTGATGCCAGAATTCTTTTTCTCTTCATAAACACAAGAGGTTATAAAAGATGTAATCAAGCTAACCTGGAAACCTTGGCTAGCAGGGTTCAGACTAGGTTCACAGATATGATCCACTTTCCATGATGCTAGGTCCAGCAGGCTTTCCTGGGGCTCAGTGACCTATGGTTGACTTTGCCCTATGCTGGTTTCCAAGAAAGTACAAAAGGTGGGGGATTTAATACATTTCCTGAGTTCTTGATATGTGCCAAGTTGCCTGCAACAACACTAGTACTCAGTGAATGTTAACTTATCACCCCTACTACTCCTAAATGCTGGGCACTAAATGACCTCCAGAAGTTATTGTGCCATTGAGTGCTTCTCAGAAGAATGCAATGAACAGCCCTGCATGATTGTTATCACGTAGATCCAGGAAGGATCCCAAACCCTGACATTATCCCGACAACTTTCCTTTTTCCTTTTTTTTTAAAGATTTTATTTATTTATTTTCAGAAAGAGAGGAAGGGAGGAAGAAAGAGAGGGAAAGAAACATCAATCAGTTGCCTCTCGCATGCCTCCAACCAGGGACCTGGTCCGCAACCCAGGCATATGCCTTGGCCAGGAATCAAACTGACAGCCTTTTAGTTCACAGACCAGCACTCAATCTACTAAACCACACCAGCCAGAGCCATAGCAGGAGTTTTGACAGAAGATAAGACATCTGGGCTGAGCTTTGAATGAAAAGTAGAAATTATCAGATGAAAATGAGAAAGATATTAGAGTAAGAAGGAACATGGGCCAAATCACAAAGGTGAGATTGATTTACTGATCTGAAGAGAATGAGCCTGAAGGGAGAGTACAGACTGCACAGTTTTGAGAGCTAAATTAGAGAAAATATCACCTTAAAGTTACCATTCAAAATACCATTTTCCAATCTATTGGAGTTCTTTACTTTCCACAGTGACTGGTTTAAATTTTTCTCTCTAGGTCACTAAATTGTCTAACTCTCAGCAGATGACCTTGCCTCCTAAAGTAGTAAAGTACTAAAAAAAATCATTCTACATTAGCTTCTCTCCACCTCAAGTTTTCTCTCCTATTCACTCCTGCTTCAGAAGATTTGTTTGTTCTTTTCCTTATTTTCAATGTGTCTTTCATTCTGAAATGTTCCCTTAATCTTGCTGAAACTCCAAACACCATTTCACTTCTTTTGTGAGATGCTCAATTTCTCAAAAAAGGCCCCTATGTTTCTTCCCTACTCTTTCTCACCAACCACTCCACACCCCTGCTTTTGGCTGCTTCCCACCATCCCTGGCAGACCTCTTTGAGGCCTGCTCTTGTTTCCAAATCCAAAATTCCTTTAACTCATCTCTTATGATTTTCTCAGCAGCTCAGAACACTGCTCATCATCTCCTCTCTGAAACTCTCTTCTCCTTGGCTTCCATCACCCTAACCTTCCGAGTCCCCAACCTTACTAATTGCTCTTTCTTAGTTGTTGTTACCTCACTTCTTCTTTCTCGTCTCCAAATATAACTGGTTCTTCTTTTTAAAAACATTTTTCTTCACATCTTCATTTACCCTACCTGCTCTTCTGGCTTTATTCCCCACAAGAGAACTATCCCATAACCACATCTTCATCTCTGACTACTCTCCTAAATGCAGACTCATATATTTGCTGCCCATGGGACACCTTACAAGCACCTTATTCAGCACATCCAAAGAGGCACTTCTTGTTTCGTGCCCAGAAGCTTCACCTTCTCACCCCAACACTAATCCAAGCTCTCAGTAATAAAATTTCAGGCACTCCTTCAAACCCTTCCTCTCCTTCATCCTCAAGCATTCAATCAGTTGACATGCCGTTTTTACTGGATTTTGCAATGTCCTTTCTATCTGCTGTTTCTTTTCTATTTCTACTGCCATCAAACCAGTTCAGGCATCATCATCTCTTGTGTGGACCATTGCAGGGGATTTTCCGTTTCAGTTCTTTTCCTACTTCCACCTGCTGTAATGAGAGAAATATTGTGCTCTGTCCTCATCATCTCCTCTCCTGAAAGTCTTTCATCTCTACCCACTGCCTACCAACTAAAGTTTAATTTCTCTAATATGCCCTTTAAAAGTCTCTGTAAACTCACTGTAATGGATCTTTCTAGCCTTTTCTCTCATCACTTCCCATGCTTTATCCAAGCCAATTCAGACAATGAGCTATTCTCTAAACAGGCCCCATATTCCCTGCCTCTTCATAGAATCTCGTAAAAATCAACATTAAAAACTCAATTTAAAACATTAAAGAAGTTTAAAAGAATATACACCTGTAATTTCACCATTTAAGACAACTGTTTTCATCTGTGCCTAGTATTACCTGGTCTTTTCCATAAGAATAAAGGTTTTAATAAATATAATCATACATATTTGTTATTCTGTATTCTTTTTTAGATTATATTTTTAAGATTTTCTATCCAGAATTAACCCTATAAAAGGCTGCATTACATTTGATGTATCATAGTTTATTTAAATTTCTCCAAGATTGGACATTTTAAATGCTCACAAGGTCTTGCTACTGCAGACAATCTAGGCAAAAAAATAATGAATAGCTTCAAATTTAAAAAAAAATTTGCTCAAGTTAGATAAATCCTAGGATTGGCTAAAAATCTCATGACTCTCTTAATACATTGCTCAATTTTTTTCCATTTGGAATGTCTCCTCCCTAATCGTTGTCTCTAACTTCCTAATTTTTAATGGCTCAAATAACTATGACCTTTTTCTTGAGAATTTTCCCACCTCCTCCTCTCCCCAAATGGAAGTCATCCCCTTTGCCTCTGAGCTCCCATAGCACAGAGTTCTGTGGAAGTGTTTACTTCGTTCTTACCATCATGATTTAATGACATGGTTATCTATGTCTTCTGTCTACTTAAAGACTGTGAGCTATTTGAGAGTCCATCTTCGACCTCCTTTGTAACTTCACCTAGAGATTTTCTATTATTTCAAGCTCTCATGTATTTTGTTTGTATTTTACCCAGATTTTCCCTGTGTTTTAAGTAAAGGGCAGAATATGAGATGAAAGAAGCCTGTGATATCAGCTCAGTATGACATCTTGACAGGAAAACCTTGGGATTCTCGTGTCTTTTGCCCTCAAAAAAAGAAAAGAATATACAGTGTCAAGCAGAAGTAAGGCCTGCTTGAATGTTGTTGATAGGGTAATAATCTGGTGTAATAATTTATAGTTTTAATTTGAACATTTCACCTAAAAGGTCATATGGTGTGCTTGAATGTGACATTGTTATGTTATAGAATTCCATCTTTGCGATTTTGTAATACAAGATTTGGGGATAAAAAACGGGATTATTTGTGCCAGACCCTGTATTTACTTGTGCTACACCATCTCAAATTTACCATGCAAGGTGGGTTTCATCCCAAAGGCAGGGAACAACATTACTGCAGGAGATTTGGAAACCTGGCTTCACAAACAGAACATAGGAGAGACTCAGGAGAGAGTCTAATTCAACTTTTTCCTCAATGGGTCATTTAAGATATAACTGTTCTGAGTCCATTTTCCCAAAATGAAAGGTTAATTTTCACCTCATAAGTTTTAGTTAATCTGAGGTTAATTTTTGCCTCATCATTCCTGTCTCATATTAATATGAGGCATACCTCTTAGCTATGATCTGAGCTTCCCACTTTCTTTACAAAAACAGGAAAATAAACCCTTCACTCTCCATTAATGTGTTGCAAATTTTGGTCTTAAACAGACAACCACCATATTTGATCTCCCCATTCAATATACACATACCCATACACACAGTGCACTATACAACTGCAGTTGATCACTGTGAAGTTGCTTTTCAGCCCAATAAGAGAAAATTCCAAAATTGATTTCAGAACCAAGAGGAAAATTTATTCATAGGTGCATTTTGTTTACCCAGTCTGCTCAGATACAATGTCAGGAAAACATTTTTGCCTCCAACTCAGCTTTCTTCACTTCCAGAAAAATTTTTACTTCCTCTATTGTTAAGCCACTTTCCTTTAATCTTTGCATAAAGTTCTCTGTGGCTTTGCAAAGTTCTTTACTCTCTTTAAAGGCAAGCTGAAGAAAGAAAAAAATTGTAAATTACAACTAAAGAACTGAGACCCAGCTCAATACCCTGAAGATGAACAGTGCACAGGTCCCTGAACAGGGAGAGGCTCAGAACCAGACTAACTTAAGTAGGGACCTGGGTCTTAAACATGATGCTTAAATATACTTATTAGTATCCCAGGAATAAATATAAACTAAAAAAGAGGCCTCAATGAAAATTGATCTGTCACTGTGTTTTAGAGTCTAGAAGAACTTTAAAGACTTTTCACAGCAATACTTCCAAGTCAAAGACATGAGTTTATTTATGTTCCTTGCTCTATAAAGCACAGAAAACAACAACTCCTACCAGTGAGTATTAGTGATAGTGGTGGCAAATGGGAACTACAATTTATAAAAAGTTTTAAGTTACTAGTTTATGAGCCCCATTCTACAATCAGGCCAAGGCCAAGCCATTCAAAAACATCCCAAATTAAACAGATATTTACTAAGCATATGCCAGAAGCAATGCCAGGCCCTGGAGATACAGCTGTGAACAAGACAGGCAAGAGCCTAATACTTACAAGTGCCTTCTCATACTCAATCTGCAGAGCTGATTTGGGAGCTTCTTGGATCAATTCACAGGCTGGAAGTTCACTGTTCCACTCTCCATCAATGCATTGCTGGTCTCGTGTGCCCACCAAACGGTATCTGAACAGGAATTAGAATGGCAACAACACTAAGCCTTTCTACCTTCTGACCTTTTCAGGCAACAGGCTGGTTTAGTGTTGTTGTATCTCAATGTTTCATATGGTGATAGATCTCATCTCTCTACCCCTGATACAAAAAGCGTGCTTAAGTTATTTCAGTATTACAAAGCAGTAAGGAATAAAACCACTCCCCTGAGGCATGGAGAGGACCCAAGTGATGAATCAACCCGTACAAGAGGCAGAAGTGACAGATTCTTTATAGTGTGCTTACACAGACAGTTTTTGGATGGGGAGGGTAAAGGAAGAAGCTCTTTATTTAGTAACTTTAAAAGCCATCTATCATCTGTGTTGTAAAAAGGAGAAGAAAACTAAATAGAGACAGGCTTCGAATAATCTTAGTGAGCTGGCTAAAAAGGACATGCAGCTTTTAATCAGAAAAAAAACATGAGAGTTGACTGCAAAGTTTGCTGGGGGTATAGAATGAGAAAAAAAGTGATACTTTAATTAGGATAAACAGGAGAATTAGTCTATCTTCTACTGATTGGGTGGAGCTGGAAGTGGGCTAAGGCAGCTCTCAAAATTAGAATGATTTCAGAATCTTGAGCAGCAGGAAATCAGGGGACTAGTTTGAGACTGACTGAGACATTCCCCAAAACAATGCTACTAGTTAATAGGCAAGATCATGTAGTTGAAAGGCTGTATACACTTACCCTTTATCACAGTGATAAGTAATGGTAGATCCTGAGCTGAAATCGCTTTTTTCAAAATAGCCATGAGCTGGATTTCCAGGAGGGCCACAGTGTTCTGAGAGACAGAGGTATAGGATTGACAGTTTTGAAGTCCAGTTACAGTCAATTAACAGCACCCCCTATGTGTGACTGTCTATGCCAGCACCTGCCATCTTCATAGCAGCACACGTGGGATATAGGGACATGGTCTCCATTCATTTCCTTCTGGTTAAAATCATATTTGTTCACAGAAAAGACCCCTCCTGGCTCATCCCAAGTCATTAGTGATTTGAGAGTATCTTCTGATTGGCAGGAGCTCAAGGAAAGGAAGTTTAAGTTACAGAAATGCTAATTGCCAGTGCACAAGAAAGGAAAATTTAGATCATAAGTAGAAGTAGAAGAAGTAACTCCCTGACATAGGAGATAAATACTGTGAGGTCAGATGGAGGTTGACATCCTCTGTGGGACAAAATTATACAAGGTGAGAGCTTCGTCAAAAAAGAACAGAGCTGTGAGCATTGAAAATGAGTCTGTAACAGAACTGTGGAAAGAGAGCTGGAGGAGGCACTAGATGTTGTGAGTTTTGGTTCTGGCTTTTCCAATAACCATATGGCATGAAAGAAGTCATTCTGTCCCTCTTGGCTTCCTTTCTAACCTATAAGTTGAGCAGGTTAAGTGACATTATCTCAAAGGTCTTCTCAGCTCTGAGACTGAATCTAAATATGTTGATTAAGATAAAAGATGACATCAAGAATAATTATATAGGTGTAATTATTTACTGAAACATAAAGGTCTTCAACACAAATAGCTGAGTAAAAACAGCAAAACATAAAAAGAGTATATATAATACAGGGTCCAGCACAAATAATGCCCTTTTTTATTACAAAATCATAAGCATGGAATTCTGTAACATAACAATATCAAAGTCAAATACACCATATGACATTTTGAGTCATATGTTCAAATTAAAACTATAAATTATTACACCCATATTATTGTCCTGCCCACCACACTCAAGCAAGCCTTACTTCTGCTGGACCCTGTATACTATTTTTGTAAAACACCATTACACAAACATATATGAATAAAAATGACTGAAAATTATATATCAAATTATTCTGTTATCACTGGGTTGTTGGTTTATAGGTAATTATATGTTTCCTTTTTTTACTTTCTGAATTTTTTTTTCAACAAAGATACATTACTTGAGCATTGCTTAAAGATCAAAAACTGAGTTCAAAAGAGGAAAGGAAAAAGAATTTTAATGAGTTGATTAAGGGACTCCAGTTTAGATAGGGTTTTCCTGGTGACTTAAGGGTACAGTTTTTTGTTTTGTTCTATTTTGTTTTTTTAACCCTCACCAAGGACATTTTTTTATTGCTTTTAGAGAGAGAGGAAAGCAGAGAGAGAGAGAGAAAAAGAAACATCAATTAAAGAGAGAAACATAAACTGGTTGCCTCCCATATGCACCTGGACCAGGGATTGTATGCACCTGGACTGGGGAGTGAACCCACAACATAGGTATGTCCATGACCAGAAATTGAGCCCGCAACCTTTTAGTTACAGGACAATGTTCCAACCAACTGAGCCACACCGGCCAGGTATAAGGTACAGTTTTGAACTGAAGGAGATGATGTGGATCTTAGGTCTAAACAGAAAAGAATCTGCTTTATTTGGGGACCTATGGAGCTTTCCCTAGAATTGGGCAATGAACTAATAAAAGTACAGAGATCCTGAATTTTGGAGCTAGGGCAGAAACTACTGAATTAAAGGAGAGTAAAATAGAGCCTACAAAAATAAATACTTTAAACCTGTGTCAAGCTAATGATGTAAATAATTTTATATATTTTAACTTAACAGCATGAAGTATATAATATGTAAGTTTTAAGTAACCCTAAACTCTCTAAATAATATATATAGTTTGTACTTTTAAACTGCCTATTTATTACTTTAATAGCTATTACCAAAATGCATCCAAAGATTGATATCACTTTCACTGAGTAAAGTGGCTACTGCTTCATATATTGAATATTAGATGAAATCAATTTTTAGCTAATCTGATCAGTAAATATTTTTATCTAATTTTAATATCCATTTCTCTAATTATTAGTAAGGTTTCATATTTCATAAATTTGAGAAATGTAAATAATCTGGGGATAATTTTGGAATTTTCTATCTGTAAACTTCTTCTACAGCACTAAATGTTTCCCTAAGGTTCTTGTTTACCATATGATCCAGCACTTTTACCCCTCAGTACTTACCTGAGGGAGTTAAAAACATGTTCACCCAAACACCTGCACACAATGTCTACAGCAGCTTTATCCATAATTACCAAAACCTGGAAGCAGCCAAGATGCCCTTCAGAGGTGAATGGATAAATAAACTGTGGTTCATCCAGAAATGACATAATATTCAGCAATAAAAAAAAATGAGCTATCAAACCATGAAAAGACATGGATGAACCTTACATGCATATTATAAAGAGAAATAAGCAAATCTGAAAAGGCTACATACTATATGATAACAATTATATGACATTCTAGAAAAGGCAAAACTATGGAAACAATAAAAATACCAGTGCTTGAGAGTGGTGGGAGAAGCAGAGAGATGAACAGGCAGAGCATAGAGGATGATTTTGAGAGCAGTGAAAACACTCTGTCTGATACTATAAATGATGGATATATGTTATTATGCTTTTGTCCAAACCCACTGAATGTACAGCACCAAAAATGAACCTCATAACCTACAGGTTTGGGGTGATCATGTGTTAATGTAGATTCATTCTTGGTAAAAAAATGCACCATTCTGGTGAGTTATGTTGATAATGGAGGAGGCTATACGGGTGTAGCGGTAGGGAGTATATGAGAAATCTCCGTACCTTCCTCTCGGTTTTATTGTAAAACTACTCTTTAAAAACTTTTCTTTAAATAAATAAATTTACAGTGTTAAGGTATACACTGTTCCAAATTAGATTTTTAAATTAATTTTTTGTTTCATTTTTTTAATGTAAAATTCTGGTAAGGATTACATTGTAATACCAAGTCTGCCCATACAGGACCATGGCATAGCTTTTCTTTTACTCAAGTCTTATTTTATGTCCTTCAGTAAATTTTCACATAGGCCTCATTGATGGATTTTTTTTCACATTTCAGTATTCACCTAATAATTATTACTAGAAAGTAAAATATTGATTTCTCATAGTATTTTGTATTCAAGAATAAAGTTTATAGGAGAATTTTTGAACCTGTTAAGTATATTTTCCAACTAATGATATCCTGTGAGTCAGCAATCACTCTAGGAATCTATACTATAGAAATAATATAAAGGTTTATGTATGTGTATACATACATATAATAATATTTTAGCATTGTTTGTAGTAGCAAAATTATGAAAATAAATAACCATCAATACAAGAAGTGGAATAAGTTATGGCATATCTACATGCAGTTATTAAAAAGGAGAAAATGAAAATAGAGTTATACACACTGATCTTTAAAAGATTTCCATGTATATTGTTATATAAAAAGCAATTTTTTAAATATGTATAACAAAGTTCCATTTTTGGAGGTCTGTCTGTGTGTAGGTAGTATGATTTGTTTATTTACTATGTCTGCATAGGAACATGTATAAAGGACTCATGGACAAAGAAAATGGGGGGGCAGTGTGGATTGAATGTGGGAGGTGGGTGTGGATAGGGCAGGGGGAGAGTAATGCGGGGAAAAGAGGGACAATTATAATTGAACAACAATAAAAAAATCACCCTACTTAGGGAGATAGCAGAAAAAAAAATGTCTGCATAAATATTTTAAAAAAGGCATGAAATAAACGCATCCAACCAATGACCTCTAAGAGCTGTGCATATAGTGATAGAGAAGGTACTTTCAATTCTTATTTTATATAATTTTGTAATGGATGAGTTATGGTCTTTTTTTTATATTTTTGTGTATTTTTAAAATAAAACTTTAAGTCAGTATCTTGAAATAAAAAACCATAGTCAGATGTCCCAAACTACCCTGTATTGGACCTAGTAGGACAGGAATCCTAGTTGAGAAAAGAAAAAAAGTGTTGTTTACTATTTAGATGCTGCTCACTTCACTGCAATACACTCCCTGAACTGAGGCTCTGGTCTGTGGGCTCCACTTGTTTCTTGGTTGACTTTTAGATCCTAAACCCTTCCCAGATATAAAAAAAAGAGGAAAGTACTGAAGAGATATGGCAAATGCCTAAAGTGTCACTTCTGATCAGCATCTTTGGGATTTGCACTTGTTTCTGCTGTACTTACTGCTTCTGCAGATTGGAAGGGGTGGCACCCAGGTGTGGTCCTCTCGGCACTGGCTCCAATTGCTGCCCTTGAGGATGTACTGCTCATTGCACTTAAACGTGATTTTGTCACTCACATTCACAGGCCCCAGGGCACTAACCTCACCATTTACCAGCACAGGGTCAGGACAGTGGCCCACTGGAGAAGAAAACAGGCAAGTGATCTGAAAGGGCCAAGATGAAATCCAACACAGCAAACACTAGACCTCCCCCATGCTTCACTGAGAATACAGGAAATTACAACTAAAAGTGCACTTTTTTGGTGGAGACTGGCACATGGTACCAAACCTTATCAATATAGTATGTGGTACTGCATTGGGTTGCCTAAGTGAGTGGGTTGGCCTAAGTGAGGCAGAAGCAGTCTTGGTCACGCACAAGAGTGACAACTGGCAGTTGAACTTCTAAAAGTAATTAAGCATGTAATTGGAAATTACCAATAGCATGTTCCTCATCCTGTTATGTAAAGCATTGCTCAAAACTCTTGAGCCTATGTTTGAAGCAAGTGTTTCCTTCCCCTTTATCCAGCCAAATATATACATGACTCATCATTTTTAACTTCATTTTGTTCTCCCAAGTGGAAAAACAGGAGAGAATGCAGAGAGATGTGGATTTGGTCATATGAATAAAAGGCAAACATGTCGGTGTGCTTTATTCTGGTATAAAAGAAAACTAATCCAACTATTCCTAAAAATAGTAATAATAAGGAGAATCCAGACTACTTCTCCATCTCTACAGCCAGCACGAATGCATTTTGTGAACCTGAGCAAATCACTTGGATTTCAGTTATCACATTTGTAAAATAAGAACATAAATATTTCCCAGTTCAAAATTACATAATAATGAAATAAAATGGTATGATATATTTACTTCAAAATAATAATGCAAAGCAGAATTGTAGATGAAGAAAGATTAGTCGTGTGTGGATACTTACTGAAGCTGGGTGATGAGGACATGAGTTCATTTTCCTCATCTGTTTTTTGTGTAAGTTTAAAATTTTTATAATATACTATTGCAAAATTTTTATAATATAAAAATTCTAAGGCAGTATGATATTAAACAAATTGTAGCCTCCCAAAAGTCATTTTATTATATGACAGAAATTTTTTCCTTCTTGTAGGGGTGATAGAGTCTGTAAGAGCTGATCATGTACCATCTGAAAGAAGTTCCACCACTAGAATGCATTAAAAATGGATTCCTAGAAGTTGGGAATTTTTTCTTATAAAGTGTTAACATGGACTACTGGAGGCAGGATGTGAAATAATACAGTGGGATGACAAGATAGACAAAGAAGTAGAAAGATTAAACTTACAGCGGCACTTGGGAGTGGAGGCGTTCCATTCCTTAGAGGCATTGCAAAAAAGGTTTCTCTCTCCTACCAGGTGGTAACCCTTAAGACAAAAGTAAGCCCCCCAAATTTGTCCTTTCATCTCTTTTGCAACAAATATGCTGTTGTCCACTGGGGGAAGTTCTGGACAGCTCTCTGCTGGAAGGAAAATGGAAACAGATTCACCTAGGACATCCTGTGCTATGAGGAAGCCCTTATTAGATCCCCTCCCCCAACTTTGACTATCTTTTTGCTGGATTAGTGATTCTGATTCCTTGTGCTCTTCCATGTCCATGTCCATCCACATCCCTCCCTACCCAAGAATTCCCGAAGATTTGTTTTCAAAAGGATAACAGGGATTTCACTCAAATTCAGCCATAAGTTGTCCACTCCTAAAGAAACAATCCCCTTTCCAAATGGCAGAGCTGGAGTTTATAACATATAAGGCCTCTCCAGATTTTGACACTGGTACTGTTTTTGCTCCTAGAAGGGAGGGCAAAAGTAAACAGGTAGCCACCCACTGACAGAGCAGGATTGTCATGAAATATTTACTAAGGCCCTAATGTAGTTCAGAGAATTCAGCCAAGTAATTTAAGATTTTTCAATAAGGCAAATGCATTTCATTGATTTAAATTTTATTAGAACCCTAGACAGAATGCCTCATAACCTACAAACTGATAGCAAATGCCTTGAAAATTGAGCTTAAGAAAAGTATACATACCATCTGAGCCAGAAATCAGCCACACGACCACAAGATAGCACACAAACCGAAAAAACATCTTGTGATCAATTGCTTGACCCAGGCTGGAATTAACCCAGCCAAGACACCTGGTTTGAGTCAAAACAGATCTTCTAACACTGCTTAAGATCAGACCAACCAACCACTGGTCTCTTAGAGAAGTGGTTGTATTGATTCCTCTTCCCTGGAAAAAATGAAAGAAAAATATCTTGTAACAGGAAAAAAGAACAGCTGTAAGGAAGTTGGCACAGGGAGGGACTTTGTAAAACCACAAAGGGGTGGTAAAATTGTTGGCAGTTTTAAAACTTAGTTTCAGAAATTGCTCAGGCAAATCCAGTTGACCAGTCCCTTTGAACTACAGGCTTCCACCAACAGAGGCGGGCCAGTGGTCTTGCCATGACCTTCACTTCTGTCAATATTTGCCAATGTTTAAAGTCTACCTTCTGAAACCCTCTTTAGCATTGTGGGTGGAGGCAGGGGTGCCAATCCCTGATGCTTTCCCAAGCAAAACCCAACTTCAGGTGCTAGTCCATACCTCTTCTCAAATACCAGATACCCTAAAGCTGTGAGCGGCCCTGAAGACTGAAAGCCCAAGGAATTTAGCTAACCTTACCTGTCTCTAACCTTCCAGATTTATGGCTTTCCAACAAGGAGCTGGTCCTGATTGATTCCAAACCCCACAAGAACTCAAAAGTCCTGCAGTGACACATTGTCCTCATCGTAGCCAGGCCTGTGCCAAGCTTCCCATTCTGTGGGCCTTTGTAGGGCAGGATTTGGCCTGAGTTTAGAGTCAACAAAATGAACTAAGAGAGATGAGGGGAATGCTTTTGTCTCAGTTTCTTTGGGGCTTTCATAGCTTCTTGTTCATGACTATTACAGCAGTTAGCTGGCTATCCCTGTTCCAATTATAAAATTGGGGTAAATTTTGTACAAAATTTTAGGTATAAAAATAGTTAATATAAAGCATTATAATAAATGTAAAACAAGGATATGGTAAGGTCTCAAGTGTCATTCTCTTCCCTATCCATTAGCATTACTTTGTAATGACTTGTTCATGTCTTCCTCCCACACTAAACTGTTAACTCCAGGGCAGGTAGTGTGCCTCATGTGTGTTTGTGTTCCCTTCCTCTGTATTCCAGAATGCAAAGGAGAATTACCTGCTAAATGAATAAAAGACAATGTAGAATAGATTAAAAAAACACACTCATCCAGAAACTCTACCTCTGCCTCTCAAACCCACACTGATAATTTATCATTTAATGTATACTGTCTTTAAGGTTTTTCCAAGTCTTCTATTTGGTCCACTAATATATGAGTTCCTAGAGTGAAAACACTTTTTAAAGTATAATTGTCAAAAAGTTAGCAACATGTCACTCCTGTAAATATAAAATAAGTATGTGTCAAAGATTTTACTCAACTCAGTTAATGAAAGGACCATTAAAATGCTATACCTAGTTCAAAAAAGAACTTGAGCAACAAAGATTTACATGCAGGCAGTCAGGCAAAGTCATTCTGAAATCACTTTTTCAGTAGATGTAAAACTGGTTTTCATCATACAGGGCAACAAACTAACATTTGGAAATAGCTTTTCTAATTGATGAAAATTAATTGAATCTATTGGACAAAATTCACTTGCTTTGCTGTGATCAGAATGTTCTCAGAAAAGAATCACTTCCATTCCTACTCATTTTCTATAAATCAACCTCTATTTTTATAGTTATAAATAAAGCCTAGTTAATAGAAAGACAGCCAAAGTTACACGCTGATGCGGATCTGGCTCGTGGGGTCCGCCACATTGTGGATGAGACACAAGACATTCACATGGACTACCGAGTCCGGTGGAGGAAAAGGACGAGCATGGCTTTTTCTCTTAAGAGGAGAAAAAAGCCGTGGCCTCTGCCATGACAGGCCTTTATTTCTTTTCTCTGGGCGCATTACATGATCCTCATTTACTATGCACAGGTTCGCTTTAGGTGGTTACCTTTTACAGAAAACAAAGGACCCAATGCCGCTAATCACATCACAGAAGGATATTTGCAAATGAAAAGGGAAAAGTGGTTGAACCGGTTACACTCATCCTTGGAAAGCTTAGCATGGATTTTAGGAAGTTACTTTGCAATAAATGTTTGCTGCTCAATTCAATGTGAGGGAGTTTTAGCAAAAGCAAGTCTCAAAGTGGCTGGCCTAGGTACAGTGCAGGCCTGATTCCCCATGGGAGAACCTATCTGTGCATCTCTGAGTGGGAGCTGGGTCCATGCCATGAAGAATGGTCTCCTACAATACACCTCTGTGTAATTTTTGGAGAAAGGATAATCCCCAGAGAGGGTCTGCTAAAGAATACTCAATAATCCCCTGAAAAATTTCTCTGGTGATCCTTTTTTGCTTGGTTTCAAGTTTTGAGCTATTTTTCTTAATATAACACATATTCAAATTCTTGAGGAATATATATGCCAGTACCTAATATACATAGTGATTGTACAACAAATTCTTTTCAAAAGTAAAATAAAGTTTTATCTATTTCTAAATCTGGGCATAAAATAGAGTATTTCAGGAAATAATTGCAAATAACTTTCATCCAATGGTTTATTTCAGATTCAGAATTATTAGAACTTTACAAAGGTACTATATTTCTTATTGTTTTACTAATATTTCTCTATTAAATGTATAATATATTTATACTAAGTGGGATACATACAGACTATAAATACCCTCAAAGTTCAGGTCAGGTTTTGCTGTCAAGTAAACTAGAAGAAAACTTTGTTTTCAAACCTATTTAGATTTTGTGATTTCATAAGGGACTATAGAATTACATGTATTATTATGTGTGTCCAAGTTTAAATAAATTAATAAATGAGCATTGTAGATGCTTCTAGACCTTTGAATATTAAGTACAATTTGATCTAATCCAGTTTTCTGGAGAACTAGGGTAATAGATCAAGTGCAGAATTTATAAAACAGGGTGAATAATGCCAGACTCTCCAGCCTTCTACCAATGATGGGCCCAGAGACTCTTTCCCATCCCACCCATAAATTCTGAAAGGCAATGAATGAGAAAGGGGAGATCCTAGGAAGTCAAAACTGAATTTAAACAATAAGGTAAGCAGATCACTAACAAAGAAAACCCAAACAGGTCAACAAGATGTGTTCTGAATGTGGGCTGGATGGTCAATGAAGGTCATTAACCTTTCTGAGCCTAGGCCTCATTAGATTTGGAATGCTGCTTCCCAAGAGTCCCTCTGTTTTTGAAATTATGTCACTTAATTGCAAGATAAATTCCTCTATAGAATCTGACCTGGTTTTCACAGATAAGATATTGCATACAACCAACAAGGGCATTTAAATGCCTTTGGGAATTCAGAAGGGAGTTCTGCCTCTAATGATTAAAACAACACAGCTTGCATGGGCTTACTGAGAATAAAATAAGACAGTGCCTTGAAGTTTTTCAGAAAAATAAAATATCACTCTCCATGATTACTACAATCCATTCAAATTCTTAAATATTCCACAAGACCCAGCAAAAAAAAATGTGAACATTTCAGAATTTCATATATTCTCCTCCTCTGCTTAAAAAAGTTAGTATCAAATGGATATCTCTTGACTTTTTCATGTCAAAGAAAGGGAGATGGTGAGTGTGTGTGTGTATTATCAAGCTCCTGGTTTGGTACCCTGCCATTCAGGGATGGGTTTCAGGAACTTATGACCTCCAAAAACTGAATGCAAAACTTATATGTGTACCTTTTTCTGGGGAGTCTTTGGCTTTTACCAAATTTTCAAATAAGTTCAAGACAAAGAATATAGGTTGGATAGTGGAGAATACATCAAGACCACAGTACATAAAAACAAGTGATAGCCAGACTGACACAGGAAGGGCCAGAAGGGTTGTCACCAACCAGGACAAGCTAGTGAGCCTGAAGGCTGACCCTCCTAACAGTGAGTCCCCAAGGAAGCACATGGAGAGGTTTAAGACATTATGTAATAAATAAGGTTACAGAAATTAAGCAAGTAATGGAGCACTTTCTGAATAGTCATTTTTCTAAGCCTGATATATTTGTTAAGTTTCCAGCTATATACACAAGTAGTACTATGTTGTGTTTGTCGAGCCCTCACCATTCCAAATCTTATGGTTTACCTTGTTCTGAGCTATGGGCTTTGACAAAAACTCTACCAATTTCGAGATGGACTGCTCAATAAGGGTGTTCATTCACCTATTTGTAAAACAGGATGAATGATGCCACACCCTCCCAGCCTTCTAGAAATGATGGGCTGATTGCTGAATAAGAAAACATTTGTGATGTTGCTTAGTGATCTAAGGAAATTACACCATTGACAACCTCATTATTGTTACTCCTCCACATATATTGCTAAAGCTCAGTATATTTAGCAATACTTAAAACCACTGTCTCTCACTTTATTGCCTTGGACTATATAACTTACAATTGTTCTACTGTTATTATGAACATTTCATTTTATCTCTATTGCTACTGACCCTAAAGAGACTATTCAAAGTTCCTTTACCATAAACATTTACATAACTATTACCTAATCATGGTTTTGGTCAAGGTTATTCATAAAAGGGAAGGCATTCCCAATAGGGAGGGATGGGTTCCAGAACTGCCGTTTACTTTTTCCTTTCCAATAATAAACTCCATAAAAAGGACAGGGACTTTAACTTAGCTATTGCATGGCAACCAAACAGTAATCATTGAATATTTGTTAAATAAATTAATAAAGCTTTAGAATGTCAATAATGCACAACTGCAATGATCCCACTGATATTTTGAAATGCAAATAAACTTGATAAAGGCAGGAGTCTACCAGTTAAATCCACAAGTTGAAAATACAATATATAATCTAGTGATTTAGGAATCATTGTAAAGAAGCTTGTTTCAAACACACTATGCACAATGTTATTAACATTTTGTGTCTGTATAATGTACCAAATGTTATTTTCTTTTGTGAGATTTCAAAAATTGCATTTTTAATTAAAAATAACTTTTATTGTATTTATTACAAAAGCAATACATATTACATATTTTAGCATGATTTTATTTATCTGGGAGTTACACTTTTCTGCAGAGAAATGCATCTCTTTATTTATAAATAAAAATCAATGAGCAAAAAAGTATTCAAAGAAATCCACTGTGCCTTAATATAGTTATTATCCTTTTATAGAAGACAGATATCTATATTCTGAAATTTTAATTTAAGGTAACCTATGGACATTAGACTTCAATGCTCAAACTACCTCAATTTCTACCAAAAACTGACAATACAAATTACCGTACATTCTGATTAAATACATGCAAACATTAATATGGGGACTTAAGAATACTTCATGTGGATGAATAAATAACTAAATTAAAAAATTATCTGATCATCAAAAGACAGTGTATATAGATGCAGAAAGAAACCTGCATCACAAGAATAAAACCAGTACAGTACAGCATGTTACGAGCAGCCAGATGAAAATGACCTGTTACAAAGCGCGGTCAGGGGCCTTTCTGAAGGCAACTTTGTGCATATAAAATAAGCTCCTAGTTGCTGGATGCTGAACTGCCTGCAGCCCAGCTGATCACATCTTCAGTAACAGCCCTGTATCAACCACAATATGAAAGAACCATTTGAAAAAAGCTACATCTCATTACTTTTCTTGCTACTCACCCCCGGCCCAGCAAGTGGGCATCTGAGTGAAAAGGAAAAAACACGAAAAAGCTAAAAACTTACCATTCTTTAAAAAAAAAAAATGATTTTGCTTGTAAGATAGAATCTCCTTTGGAGCTTCCATTCTCCTTCAGGAGGAGTGACATATTAATACCATATCTAGAGACATATTTGCATATTTGACAATCACTGGTGTAAAGACTAATTACCTGGCTTATCATTAAGGAGAACCCAGTGACTAATGCACTAAGGGCTTGGTTTCCCCTGAACCCCCAATGTTTTAGATGAGACAAGTAGACCGAATTAGAGACAGCCAGCTAAGAGGCAGGCATCAGAAGACCAGCTGCTCTTGAAGTCACAGCCACTGCTTTCTTATACGACCATATCATGGTGACAAACCCCACAGAATGGCACCCACTTTGAAACCAAAAGAACTCCCTGATAGAGTTGATTGCCAAGGAACCTTCTTTACTTTTTCATGTGATATGAATGGTCCCTTGCCATTCTCTCCAGCCCTCATTCCCAATCATCAGGCATAAAGCAGCCACAAGAGAGAACTGAGAAGATGGGTACCCATTTGGGGGAGACTTGCAGTCAGACCCTGTTCTTGAGGGGCCCAGAACAAGAAAAAACTCTCAACAAAAAGGTTGCTGCTATCACTCCTCTTCCAACACCACAGCAGAGATGTTTCAGGGACTGCATTTCTCACATACCCTCCTTTTACCTGGTGAATTTGCCTCTTTCCAATATGACAAAAAACAGTGAATGCTAACATACGTAAATTGTACTCTATCCTGCTCACTTGGAATGCATGCAGAGACCAGCTCTTACAACACAGAAAAGGCTTACTGAGTTCAGCCTTCTCACCAGTTTAGGCAAAAAAGAGCCAGATAGAGCTAGTCACAAGTAGGATGTTAAATACCAAAACAGAAAAAGATTGACCAAATTGGGCAAAACCCAACAAAGAGATCATAAAAAAACTAACTGGCTCAGCCTGTTAAATGTTTTGAGGCACAAAGAAATGAAGTTTTCCCATGTAACTGATATTCCCATTAAGCATGAGGCATAGAAATTTGGTGGTGTTTTTCCAGGCCTCGTTTTGATGGTCCCAAATATCCAATCCCCATTTCACTTCCTGTTCAAACCCAGTGGAGCTGACATCCAAGATTTTCAGCAGATCCCGGTCCCCCAGGGAGGTCTGGTCTAGCTTGCATATCAGGAGACCGATGAGAGGGATGTCGGAGAGGAGTCGGTAGGCACAGCATGCGAGGTCTCTGCCTACAGGCCAGAGAGGAAGAGAAACAAAGCCATTACACCACCACCAAATGTCAAATGAAGGTAGAGCAGAATCCCTCCCCGACTCTTCCACTGCTTCCCCTGCCCCTGCCCCATCCCCACATGTGCACACAGACCTGCACACGCCCCTTTACTCTCAGGAGTCGGACACACTCCAGTGGCACAGTCACAGGCTTCTTTCCCAGAAAAACCAACTTTCCTTGTGCCATGTTGAACCAGGCACTCCTTTCAGACCTGGACTGTAAGCCACATACCCAAAATATGAGGTAAAAGGAGAGTATGTTGGCACCATCAGCCAAAAGGCCATGCCAAGAAAGTGACATTGCAGTCAGGAGCTACTTGGCTTCTGAGGAGGGTCTCTGCCATTGCAGTTACCCTAGCCCATTCTGAAATCAGTCATCAGAACAGAAATCAACTTCTTCCCACAAACTGGGATTTCATAGTTTAGCTTGTGAGAAATTCTTCCGTCTAGAACAGTGTTTCTCAAATGTTAAGTGTGCATTTGAATCACCAGGGAATCCTGTTAAGATGAAGATTCTGATTCAGTAGGCCTGGGATGGAGCCCCAGAGTCTGCATATCTAATGAGCTCCAGGTCCTTGTTAGAGTAACAAAGAGTAGGGCATGAGAACAGTGACACAATTCTACCTGTATTCTCCTGTCACAGAAGAACTTAAAACACTTGAATTTACCTCTGGCTACACCCACTGGCTATAACCTCTTTAGAAACAGGCAGGTCATATTTAGAAAGAACAGCCCATTAAATTCTAAGAGACCTCCAAAGTTTTTCTTTACAATAAATAGTGAGTTACATGTTGTTAATGGGAGTCATAGTGTAGTGTGGTCAAAGGTAAGAGGTAATTCTTGTAGAGGTGCCAAAAAGTACACACAACTCCCACAGAAGTTCACATGCCTTCCATAATGTTCTTCCCATCCTCCCCAGAAGGTGGTGACAGAGAGCCATGCTTACACCAAGGACTCCAGCCACACTGGGAGCTGGCCTTGGCTTGTGTGAGGCTCAATCACTCAACAGTGTAAGGCAAAGTTCTGGGGGTGGTGGAATGGGTGAGAACACAACCCAAAATACAAAACAAAAAACCCAGAAGCGTTCTGATAGGTTCGAGTTACTCAACAATTTTATTTACCCATTCTGCATACACACACACAAAACACATTTCAAATACAGTTAGACACACCTTAGGTGGATCTGAGTGGCATGTTTTGATATCAGTGTCACCAGACTAAATCAGAATGCTGTTAAGGACTTAAGTTGCTTCTTTCAACAGACCCGTGCCTAGGAAGTCAGCAGGGTAGTTCTACTGCTTGGGTTCCCAGTTGAGTCTATCCCAGTTCAACCCAGCAGTACTCAGCCCACTCCCAAACCCTCCAAAGGGCAAAGTCGATGATCGGTCCTTTGCTTTTGCCACAGCAAAACTATCACCATAACAGAATGAGTTGATTTTGTTATTTCCACACAATTAAAAATGTACACAAGTAATTCAGACACAAAAACATTGAATAGTTATATATTGGTCATAGATTCCCCGGTGAAAGGCTTACTGGAAAGAATAATTTGCCATCTCTTAAAATCTATTTTGAATGTAAAATTACCTTTGCAGTTTTATTAGATAACAAGTGCCAAATGCATGTCAAACTACAACCAGCAGCCTTACCCAATGGAGTGCTACATTCTATAAAAGAAAAGTTGCGCCCTGGCTGGTGTGGCTCAGTGGATTGAGTGCAGGCCTGTGAACCAAAGGGTCACTCACTAGTTTGATTCCCGGTCGGGGCACATGCCTGGGTTGTGGGCCAGGTCCCCAATGGGGAACGTGCAAGAGGCAACCACACATTTAATATTTCTCTCCCTCTCTTTCTTCCTCCCTCCCCCATCTCTAAAAATAAATAGATAAAATGTTTAAAAACAAAAAAGAAAAGAAAAGTTGTGCACACAGAAATTCAGAAATGGGTAGTGAAAGCAAAACACTATTTAGAAGTGGAGAGTGAAAGGGATGACTTCAAATAGAATAACAATTTTAGGCTTCTAGCAGGTGTGTCCTTAACAGAGTTTACAAAATGTCATATGAGTGACACACAACCTTCATTTTCTACAAAGTGATGAAACTTTGGCTGCTATTCTAAAAGCACTGTCTATTAACTTCCTCCTCAAGAAAAATGTGGAGTATTTACTTCCTTTCAGTCAATCACCACACAGACTCTACCAGAATTAGTCAGCCAGCATAGGAACCCTACTGGAGTCAGTCAGCCAGCACAGGAACCCTACTGGAGTCAGTCAGTCAGTCAGTCAGTCAGCAGAGGAGCCATACTGGAGTCAGTTAGTCAGTCAGCACAGGAACCCTACTGGAGTCTGTCAGTTAGCATTGCAGATCCTTTCAGAGTCTGTCAGTCAGCCAGCACATAGTAGCTACTACCACTACATACAGTCTTCTGGACACTATGAGTCTAAATTAAATTCCTGGACATACTTCTGATGTCTATGTCACCTCTATGAGAAGTGAAATATCAATCCTGCTAACCCTGACTCAATTGTTATATAATTTTTTAATTTAAAATACAAATAAGTCAAATTGCATACTGGAAAACTGGGGTAAATCAATCAAATTTCTTGAAAACAAACAACCTGACTTCTGAGCTTAGCAAAAACAATGAAATGTGCATAAGACTATATAACCCAGAAATATTCTCTCAATTTTTAGACACTTTTCTCCTTGTCCTTTGACTACCCCAAGTACCCGTAAGTTTCTCTGGAACTCAGATCTCCTGCTCACAGAAAAACCATTTAATATGGATTTATTTCCTAACAGCTATATCATGTTTCTTCAAAATGCCAGTACATCTGAACATCAGGTGGGTTACAAAGAGGAAGAGCCAGAACCTCACAGGAAACATTCAACCATTCAGCCTAGGAATACAAATTTCTTGGGGAAAAAACGAAAACCAGAGACAGCCCTGGCTGGGTGGCTCAGTCGGTTGGACCATGTCGTCCACACACCAAAAAGTTGCAGGTTCGATTGCCAGTCAGCATAGGTATGAGAGGCAACCAATTGATGTTTCTCTCTTTCTTTCTCTCCCTTCCTCTCTAAAATCAATAAAACATCCTCAAGTGAGGATTTAAAAAAAGAGGGACAATGGTAAGACCACTTAAGAGAAAGTCTTAAGAGTTTTAAAATATTGTCCTATTCTACTTTCCAAGTGAATGTGAAATAATCCTCTTACAAAACAAAACCAAGACATTATAGATAATAAGTAAAAGCTAATTCAAATCTGAGGATTAGGAGATAGAAAGAGAAGCTTTAGATTAAATCTACTTTACATTTCTCTTTCAAATATGTCACAGAATTCCTCATTTAGCTGTTTTGTTTTGTTTTTTCTTGATTTGAGGAACATTATTTTTATCATTCCACTTATTTTTACATTCATTGATTGATTCTTATATGTGCCCTGACTGGGGATCAAACCTACAACCTTAGCATATCAGGATAACACTCTAGCCAACTGAGCTACCACTCTAAAAAAATAGTAAATGAATGTCAACTATAACTGAAAAAGAGAAAAAAAATTGAATATAATGATTTTCCTTTCCCAATTTTCGATCAACAGATAAATGCTAAAGCCTTCACCTATTTCTCCCATAACAAAACTGAAGCCTCAGCAAAAAAGTACTCTGAGGCCACCCTTTCTTTGTAGGCTTTTTGATAGAGATATAATCATAGTAATATTGATGCACTACCAATACACAATCAAGAATGGGAGAGGAGCACAGGAAAAAAAGACAGGAAGTAGGACTTGTCTACAGTTTGGAGCTCCATTCCATTTTATGTTCTCCTGGGTTCTTCCTGCTGAACCCTCTCTAGAGATCTTGCTCTAAGAACTGAAGAATGCTGAAGCCCTTGCTGTTTTCAAACTGTAATTTCTTGTGTCCTGAGAATAATAAGACCACCTCAGGCTCCTCTTCTGAGGCAAGCAAACTAGCACAGGGGATAGTGCAGAGGAGTTATCCACAGGAACATCCCAGTAACCTGTGGCTAATGCTGGGGCTCATAACAAGGTAACACAATGCGAGTTTGTTAAGACACTTCTCTTCTCACTAAAAGTATGTAAAGGCCAAATCCAAAGTCTCTGGATCAAAATGCTTCTTCTTCTCATTCATTAACTCTGAATTACTTTCACAGCACAGCAGGAGGAAAGATGGAATGAATGCTCATTTGGGCTAAAGATAAAAACCAGTCAAGCAAAACAGATAAGGCAACCACCTAAAAGTACCATACACATGTCCTAGCCCACAACTCATTCTGCCGACTCTTTTAGTCCCATGGCCAAGGACAAGAAAAAGGTCAGAAGTAATCTATACTCCACTTTAGTGTCCACATTTACAAGGTGTTGCTCTTTCACAAATGCTCACTTATTATAAATTATATGCCCTGTTTCTAAAATAACTTCTTGGGACAAGCACCCTTCCTTCTACTTCTATGTACACCTGCACCCCCACTCCCACCCAGCCCAAAGCCTCACAAACTGAGGCACTAGGTACACTTATGTAAATGGTAAACAGGAGGAGCATGCTGATGAAATTTCAAGCAGCATCTGGGCAAGCAGCCTTGGGAAACTCACTGTGATATTCTATTCAAGATATAAGAATCAAGGATTCAAGGTCACCAATCACCTGCCCGGGATGATAATCTTTCTTATCCCACAGGTTTATCTCAGTACTTATCTCCAGGGTGCTTACAATTCACAGCTATTATAAAGGACATTTATTTACACAGTGATTTCTCCCATATCACCCTGCCATGTAAATGGTTAAAGATGGGACCAGAACCTAGAGTTATCCTCTAAAACACAGCAGCCTGCTTTTGAGGGGATCACTTCATTTAATATTATGATCTGCTAAACATCTAACTTCATGAGGGATTCAGAATTCCTAGGTTACTGTTTTGTCCAAGGAACTACTACCCCAGTATTTGTTACCCAACTTCACGGAATGGAGATTGAACCTGGAGTATGAATTAGCATCAACAGGGAAGATGGTTAAACACAGGCACGTGCAGGCCCCAACCCCAGAGATTCTGAGTGAATATTCAGCCTCAAGCAGACCTGGGCATGGGTACCTTTCAAAAGTTCTCAAGGGGGTTCTAATGAATACTCCTAGATAAGAACCATGGCAAAAGGTCTATTACCAAAAGCAACTTTGGCAAATAGCTAACTTGTTCTCACTGGTTACTTCTAAAAGACAAATTAATGACTTTAGGATGGGGTCATCTTTTTTTTTCAATTTTTAATACAAAAAATTGAAATGAAAAATTTCACAAGCACTCTAGACTTGCTTCTCAGAAAAATGCCACCCATATATTCATATGTTCTGCACACAAATGTAGGGGGAGAAGTATGCTATCATGAGTCATCAAGGGGCTAAGAATCCCTGCTGTAAACTATTCCTGTTTAATCCTACAGAGAAAATAAAATGACATAAGCGAATAGGTAAATATGAGCAATGAAGAGCTATACCCTACAGAGTCCTAAAGACTCCTCCAGATTCTTCAACTTAAAAAGGAGTGTTTTGAAAATTACTTGAAAATAATTAGCAACTCTAGTGAACTCTTCTTTGCCTTTTGACTTGAGCAATTCAAACATCAGTAGTGACTCCTGAATCAGTGGTGGCTCCTGAATCAGTGGTGACTGTCCTTCTAAACAGCCCCAGAAGTCACTGGCTGGCAGTGGGTAGCAGGGAAGCTGGGAGCCACTGGAGAAAATGTATGACCAGCTCTAAAATAACCCTGTAGCAGCTAGGGGCCCTCATACTCTCCTAAACTTCACTCCACAGCCTCCAAAAGACATGCCTGTCTCTTGAAGTGAAAAATACAAACCAAGATATTTCCCACATTCTCAGAGCCAGCTTTCCCCCAGGCATCAAAGCCTTAGGACTACTTCTCATGAAAGGAGGCAAGAACTCTCACCCTATATCCACTTAATGGCTCCAGAGTGCCTGTAAGTGTTCTATAGCTTAGGCTGACCCTGTCAGGACCTGGCTTGAGAGAAGGACAAGGGAAAAGAAAGGCTCCCCACCCCCATCCACATCCATTTGGGCCCTCTGTTGAGAAAAATCAATGGCGCCTGGACTTCTCTCTCAACAACCTTCCCCTCCCTCCTAGACAGACACTACAATGACAATGGCATGCATCACAATGGACAACCCAACAGGGAGATGAGGGAGGGGGAAGAAAGCAGGCAGGTAAGAACTGTGAGTAAAGCACACCTTAAAGAGACAAAGGTGAAGGGAAAATGGGTTTCTGTGTCCCCCTCCACCCCACCCCCACTGTACCACCATAAGAACTTTAGTGACTTTAGACACTAGGGACTGAGAAGAACCAAGTGTACTGGCCATGTTCAGTCTCAGCCCCAGGTATGCTAATCATCCCAGAGGTGATCATCCCTTTTCCTCCTCCTCCAGACCACCTAGAATGAGCACCTGTTCTAAAACACCCAACTTGTCAACTTGCCCCTAAATGGGGAGATGTTTCACACTGCAGTATAGATGAAGTTGGTCTAAAAACACACGGCCTCACGTTTGTGTTAAGATTCATGGTGGGGTGTTGGGGGTGGGGGTTGGAAGTTAAATGATTCCCTGGTGATTAGTGACAAGGGCAGGAGGCCAGGACTAGAAGGAAACACACAGTTACACCACCGGAATGCTGACTTGGCTCTTCGGCTGGTCGGCCCCTTCTTGCATGTCCAGGGCGCGGAGAGGACTGAGGGGCTTGAGGGGCCGGCTCCCAACACTGTAATTTCTTGGACGCCTTATTGTATTCGAACTGGACAGAGGTGTAAAGCTGTTCCTTCTCATCCTTACAGGGGTTTGGCTCTTGGGAAAGTTGTTCTGATTGGAAACGGAGGGACACCACACAAATGAAAGCCAAGACAAAACCTCACTCATAAAGGTTAAATAACACTTATAACCACGACAACTTCCTCCACCACTACTCCTCTAGGACAGCATCCCTCACAGGAGGTGGGCCATGGCCCGGTCCCCTAGCCCCAGGAAGCTAAAGGGTTTTAGAGGGAGAGCTCCTTGAGCATCATACTCCAAAGCAGTAGAGAGGGTCAAAGAAAGGAAGGGACTTATTTAAGAACAAACAGATTAACAGGACAGACCTAGGAACAAACCCACACCTCTTCACCCTACCTTACAGGTTCTTCTAAATCCTGCTTTTTAAAAGGTTCTCTTCCTGGGGGAATTTGCAATTCATTCCAGCCAAACACTTTGCATATTTAACTGTATTTCCAGGAGCTTTCAAGGTCAAGACTCATGAGAGAGGTACTAATCTTAAAAAATCATAATTCCAACATCTATTCCTTTTGGAAGTAAGCAGGTTATATAGGACATGAGTTCTGGATTTGTTTTTCTTTGGCACATAAAAGAAACCCCAGTGTCTTGACCCCAAAGTTTCAAAGACTCAGGAGCCCACATGTTCACCTATAGGAAAATACTTACATCTGGCTTCTCACGGTGAGTGTTCACAGCTTCCACATTGAGTTTAATGGTTTCCACTTTGCACCCTAGGCAAACAGAAGCAAGAAAAGAGGCCTTCAGGGAAAAAGCTCAAAGAAAAATTCCTTAGTTTCAGTATGGGAAAGCATACCACGAATGCATACATTCCCAAATACATACATACATTTAAAAGTGGAAGGCACTGTCGGAACTCTCCTGGTATACAGGGGTGATGAAGTTGAACTTCTACACAAACTTCAGAGAAAATTCAAAAACCCTGATCTTCCTCAGTCCCCACACCTGCCCAGCCCCTAAACTCATAGTTACCGTAGGCCACAGGGGTAAGTCTGAAGATGGTATGAAGCGGGCACCTCAAGTACGGTAGCTCATCTGAAAGCAGAAAGACCAGGTGAGAGAAGACTCTTAGTATAGAGTAAGGGCAAGCTACTGGAAGAAAGAATCTAAGGAGCTCATGGATTTTCTTTACCTTGATCTACTTACTTATGCATCTCCTCCCCTAACCCCCAAACAATTATCAAGATAGCCACCAAAGAAGCCACTCAAGCTACCAAATGGCTAAGGAAGGAAATAAGTACATCTTAGATCCTTCCATGCAGACAAAACTGGAGTAAGTGCTACAGCCAGGACCCCACGGAAAGGAAGATGGTGGCACACCAGGGTACACCAGAGGCCAACCTATGGGTTTCCCAGCAGATCAGGTAGGTCAGGAAAGCAAGTGTCAGAGAAGGCAGCAGCACTTCCTTTGGGCTCTACCCAGAAACGGTCCTACCCTGAATCCAAAGGATGAAGATGCTTCTAAGATACCACCCTCCTTATAGTCAAAGGAACAAGCTGGAAATAACCAACCACTTCTCTGATGCTTCCAGGAGTGTCAGCTCAGTGCTGCCCTTTAGCCAAGCAGGACTGAGGAGCTCCAGCAGCAACCACTCTCCACTGGGGGCATTTGTACCAGCAGCATCAATTCAGCAAATAGTTGACCCAGTGGCTGCTGGGAGCTCCATACTGCTGCCTGAAGAATGTACTCGAATTTGAGTGAAAGAGGGAGAGGTCCAGTTGCCAGGGATCCTAGTGCTACCCCAAGTCTAGTCCCCTCCCATGAATATGTCCACCAGCCTTTCCCTCAATGGCACCTGCACCCTTATCCAAGAAGTAGGCCAGGAGACAGCGCATGACCGCCTGATGGGAGATGACAAGGACGTTGCCCTGGCGCTCCAGCTCCATGATGACAGGCTCCAGTCGCTGCACCAGGTCCTGGTATGACTGTGGGGGGAAGTAGGGCAGGCTGGCAGGAGGCCGGCAAGCTGGCAGCCAAGTCAGTGGTTGCATCCAGAGTAATGAGGCCATTGCTCCTTCATCCCTGGCTGGCTTTCTTCCTGCAGGTTCAGCAACTTCAGGTCACCTGCTAACTCCCCCAGCCCTGGTATCTCTTAAGAATATTCAGACCTTTCAAGAGTAACATTCAGACTGAAAAAACCATAGCCAATAAGAGAAAATCTGAATTCAGCATGTTTTTTTCCCCCTCAAAACTAGGCAAAGTACAAGGCAACAAGGGGCTCTGAGGGGTTTCCTGGACTTCTGCCATACTATTTACCTTTGCCTCACACATCCCTAGACTATGAAGGAAACAGCCCAAAATACTGAAGATAATAAGGAAATCATTCACAGCCCATATATTTACTTAGTGCCCATACCTGCAGGTGGATTAAGGAGGTAGAATGAAGAAAAGGAAGTAAAAAGATCATTACAGATGATGTATTATAGAATTGTACATCTGAAACCTATATAATTTTATTAACGAATGTTGCCCCAATAAAAAAATAAAAGTAAATAAATAAAAATAAAAAAATACACCAAAGATCTAACAACTGAAACCACAGAAATACAAAGGATCATTTTAAAATATTATGAACAACTATATGCCAACAATTGGATAATCTGTAAAAAATTTGAAAAAATAAAAATAAATACAATGGAAGATCATATTGATTCTACAATATACCCAATACTGTAGATCTTGTCCCTGTTTTCCCTAGAGATCTTAATAAATTAACGAGGCATCTGACTGCCTAAGCTGAACTAAAGACAGTATGACCCAAGGTAGGAGGATAAACTGAATGATGACTTAAGTATGCTTTCTAGATCCCCAAAATTTATTCAATCCTTCCCCCAAATTAACACTAAACCCCCAGCACAGGGCTGGGAGGTCACCCCACGTTAAGGGAATCTCACCTCCCCACCAGGATATCGATACAGATATTTCTCTTGATCTCGAAGCGCAAACTCATCTGGGTACTCCTTCTCAATCTCCGCATAGGTCATCTCCTCACATACACCCTGCAAGGAACCCCACAGGCTCACAGAGGTAGACAGACCCACACAGCCCCGCCCAAATGAGGAAGACGACACTGAAGAATACTAGTTTCTTACTACTGCCAGGCACCGGCCGGGTCCTTGCATGTCCTGCAACTGACTGGCCAGGGTGTCTGGGACTGGCAGGGTGAGGGCCACTGCAGAGAGGAGGCGGCTTCTCTAGCGTAAGCTGCCACTTTCTCCTACTACTGTGGGGAATTTAAAGGTCAAGAAAAGTCAGCAGGATAAAGGGAACAGGAAGCAGGGAAGGAAGGGAAACTGAAAAGACTAGAAAATTCTTGCAGAAGGCATAAAGGGTTCAGAGGAAGAAAAGGAAATGCCTACTTTTGTGCACTAGGACAGAGAAAGCCAAGAAAAAATTTGGAAAGGACTTTTTCAGAATAGCTGACCAAATGATCTAAGCAGAAATTAAAGAAATGAATGTTGTTAGCTATTTCCTTTTCCCAGGAAAAAAATACACCAAGGACCCAAGTGGAGCCCCACTCTCCCCAGGCACCCCAAAACTGGTTTGGGTCCCATTTTTGGCACAGGTGCTCAAGCAGACAGGAAGCCCTAATTAGGGGTGCAATTGTTCCTACTTCCTCCCAAACCAGCCATAGTTTCAGCTTCCTCAAAGTTTCTACTTGGTGGTTCTAGTTTTTAGATAAAACTGCCCACATCGTGACTTCTGAGAGCTCCTGCCTGAACAGGACACCATACTGGCCATCAAAGCTTCCTACTCACAGCGTCAATCTCGTTCAGAATCTTCCACTGCTCGTAGGTCACCCCCAGGGACTCAGCAGTCTGGATAGTCCTCTTCAACTGGCTCGTCCACACTTTGAGATCTGCTATCTCCTGTTCCTCCAGAAACTTCCTTAGAGCTTGGGCAAACTGGGGTTTCGAATAAAAATTTTAAAAGAAGAAAACACACACACACACACAACTGTTAACTCAGCCTATAAGGGCCAATGCGTATGACTGCAGTCAAAATCTGGAAGATACAAGCGATTAACCCAAGCTGGAAAGCAACTTCAACTAGAGCACTGTGTACTCTGCTAAGCACACAAGTCGTACCCAATAAAAACCTGATGGTTGAACTACCACAGCAGAAATGGTTCCAAGTAACCCATGCTTCAATACAGAGCTAGAATCAGTGGACAAGAAAATGTGTTTAGCACTTGCTTGACCATCTGAAACCACATCCTCATCCTAAGCCCCTGTGGAATTTAGGAAAAACTCTAACCCTAGGAAATCTGGCCTGCTGGCTAACTACTCACCTGTTTTCCCCGCACTGAGAGGCCAGAGTCACCCCCAATCTTCCCCAAGAGATTGTACTCGCTCTCTCCGTGGCGGCAAAGGTAAATGGTGCGAGGCTGCACGTGGATGTTCATGAGGTAATAGACTATCTTGCTCTGGATGTAGTCCTGGACTCTGTTCACTAAAAATCGCTGGCCCACATTTATCACCTTGATGAAAGAAAGATCCCTGATGAAAGAAAAAAATCCCTTGGTATGAAAACCTGAGGCAAACAGTAGCAGGAGGAAGGGTTTCATAGATACTTGCAGGCTAACAGCAGCTCTCCCTCCCCTCCTGTTGGAGCCCCACCCACATTTAAGGAGCAGAATGGTAAGAGCTGGAGTGCTCCTTAGAACTAAGACGAATAAAATCTCCCAAACTTCTGATCTGCCCCTCAGTGCCTACACTCTATCATGAATGTAGTAAGTATGATAAACAATTCAGCCCTCCCCTCAGGGGCTACACTAGATGATCTGAAGGTTTTGCTAACCTTGAAATCAGGTGAGAAGCACAACCCCCACCTGGGGTGGTGGAGACCTGGCCAGAGTGCAGTATCACCAGTAGTGGGCTGGGGGGGCGCGGCAAGAGGAGGCAGAACCATGGAGATCTCTGTGCACTCCTGGCATCTACCTAAATCATGCCTCTCTCAAAGGTACTTCCGTGGACTGTTTGCTTTGTGGTCACCATGGAATTTATCTCATTATAAAAATAATAAGTGTAGCCCTGGCTGGTGTGGCTCAGTGGATTGAGTGCCGACTGAGAACTAAAAAATATTAAGTGTTTATTCCAAAAAAGTTTCAAAAATAAAGGGAGAATGATGTGGATAAATTACCCAACAGCGAGAACATCTATAAACACACACACAGACACATACATATTCTTCTAGAATGTTTTTCTGTGTAGGACTTTGGGGGTAACTATGGTATATACTATTATGCCATATCTAGGAGAGTGGTTTTCAACCTCTGTATAAAGAATACCTCCAGCCATGGCTGGTGTGGCTCAGTGGACTGAGTGCTGGCCTGTGAATCAAAAGGTTGCTGGATCGATTCTCAGTCAGGAACATGCCTGGGTTGTAGGCCAGGTCCCAAGTTGGGGGAGCACGAGAGGCAACCACACATTGATGTTTCTCTCTCTCTTTCTCCCTCCTTTCCCCTCTCTCAAATATAAATAAAATCTTTTAAAAAAATACCTCCAAATAGTAACATTCTGGGTGACCCCTTGAAGGAACTGACTCAAAGCAGACCACAGAAATGATTAAACAGTGGGTTATATACACTTGTCTCATTTGCTTGGCTGCAGGGCTGTATTTGTATTTGAACAGAGCTGATAACTGCTCTGACCACTTCCCTTTTCAAAGGCCACATTCTCACAGCTTTCCATGTGCACACATCTTTCTTCAAATTGAACTTGACATTTTGCTATGGCTCCTACCTCACACATATCAACTTAACCTATACTGTACACCACTCTGCTGACAGACGCTGCCATGGTAATGACAGCACTGACCAGACATTTCCCTAAGCCAAGCATGTTGCTGAGGACTTCACACATTTTATTTATATGTGTAATATCTTATCTGTTTTGTGTTACAGGTTACACATAACAAGCAATAGATACTGCATGCATATGCATGTGTACATGTTTTATATGTGTATTGTGTTATATATATATACATATAATATATAATACATGTGTTAATATATAATACACATATATAGTACACTTTTAAAATTTATCAAAAACTAAAGATACAGTTCTAAGGGGTGCCCTACAATACCCTAGCTCAAAACTTATGATCTAGAGCAGTGCCTCTCAACCAAGGGTGATTTTACTCCCCAGGGACATCTGGCAATGTCAGGAAACATTTCTGTTTGTCACAGATTGAAAGTTACTGATATCCAGTGAGCAGAGAGGTCAGGGTGCTGCTAAATATCCTAATATGCACAAGACAACCCCCTACTACAAAGAGTTATCCAGTTCAACATGTCAATAATGCTAAGGTTGAGACACCCTGCTCTAGAGGACAGAGCAAAAGATTGATGATTTAAAAAAAAACAAAGACAAAAACAAAACAAAAACCACTTCAGTGTGCAAGTATAAGATGTAACCCACACAGAAGCCACAAATTCATACCTTGTTTCTCTGGAGTGAAAGAAACATTATGGGACTGGAATGTCAGAAGGAAGTTTGGAGACAGAGAGAGAAAGGCTCTTTTCTCAAATAAGATCCCTATTTATGCCCTTTGAGCCAGGGCCTTAAACCTTACTTGTCATAGTTGTCTGGGTCAAGGGGTCGATAGGTGACTTTGTAGCACTCAATTCTCTTCAGGAAGTCCTCCATCACATTCTCCCTGTTCCTTTCAGGGTAATCAGGGCTTGACACCTTCACTTCCTGGAATCAGAGAAGAGCGGGACCTAGTCAGAGGTCTGCCTTCAATAGCCCTCCTGCAAACAGGCACTGCTAAATAAAGAAAAGGAAGTCTACAGTAGTGGTGTTTCACTGCAGCGCTGGCAACCCCGTTCCCTGAGCACCACCCCCACATGGTCCTATGATCCTGGCAACCAAGAAGGGAAAGACAACTGGGGAGTCATGTGCCTGTCCTTGGCTGCAGGACAGTGGCTATCATGCAGCTGAAGCTGCTACTGGTTCCCAATCCCTTCTTTTATCTTCCTGGGAAAACAGAATGTGCTTCAATTTCTCCCCACAACCACTTGGAATAGGGTGCTTGACTTGTTGCATGCCTGACTGGGACCAGATGCCTCTTAGAACTTTAGATCATCCCAAGTTCCCACGTTGCTGGGACAGCACCACCACAACATCACACGTGGATATTTACTCGGCACAGCACAACCCATCACACAGGCACTGGTCTGTACTATGCCCACACGGGGCATGAAGCATTCAGTGTGGGCAGCGCACTAACCTGACTGTTACACAACTGCTGGGCAGATGACCTTCCTAGAAGGTGGCCCTGACAGATAATGAAGAGTCAGGTCTATTTTAAAAATACACCTAGGTCTCAGTATCTAGCTAACACCCAGAACACTGGTTCAGAAATCCTACAATCTACATTTTGGTCTCCATTCAACAGCTAATTCACACTTTATTCGTCAAAGCCTCAGTTTCCTCTCCCAGGAATGTGGAAGTACAAAATGGTGCTCTGGCAGATCAAACAAATCAATCAGTGATGTTAAACATGTCTATTTCTTTCTTTCATTACCCAGCTGACTCTCCCTGTCCCCCCACCCACCGCACCTCCACACACACAAGGCACAAAGGATAAAGAGGTGGTGGTATGCAGGAGTGTCACCCACCAGGATGTTGGCAGCGATGACATCAGGATCATCACAGACAGATTCCACAAAGAACACCTGGCCAGGAAGAGAGGGCAGTAACAAATGAGTCAAAAATGGCCCAGCTGTTCAACAGGAGCACGTGATCATACTTGCCCTACCCCAGCCACCACATCCGAGAGGATTTTCTTTCATGAAAGTGCCTTCAAGGCCTCTTCATTTAAAAATAACTCTTACCACATTCCCAGGGCCTCAGACACACAGGCTAAGGGTCTGAGAAAGGACCTGCAAGAAAACACTCAAGAACTGGGGGCATGCCCCATAAGGACAGAATCAGATACCCAATCTTGTCCTCACTCGTAGAGTCAAACAGATCCACACGGTCCTCCTAACTCCCACCCCCACTTATCCCTCTTCCTCCAGCATGAAGGCAGATCCTACCTTGAAGGAATTCTCCTTGGCAAAATTCAAAATCATGTCTCTCCTCTCCCTGGTTGTATTGGTGGCATCAAACACCTAGGAAGAGAGCCCACAAGGTAGATGAGTGGGGCAGGAGAAGTGGATCCCACCGAGGCAGACCCAAGCTGAGGCTATGCAGCTCTGAGAGGGTGGAGACCAAGATGGGAAGCAGTAGGTAAGGCTTACCGCAATCTGCCCACTCTCCTCAGTGAGATACGTCTTAACATCTTCCAGTGCCACGACAGCACACTGTCTGCCATGAGAACAGAGGAAATCAGCAGAGGAGTGCAGCAAGGCCAAGCCCAGGCATAGCCAGAGACATGAGCAGTTGGGTTGCTGTAGAAGTCATGGTCCTTCCTGCTTGGTTTTCTCACTGTTCAAAAATTTCCCTAACAAGACCCTTCAACCTCCCCACTGAGATTTTTATATCCTCCTTCATCTTTTCCTTTCCCCTACCCCATGCATACATCGTACTCCTCCTAAGGCCTAACCTATGAGTATGCATGTATCTCCCCAAGCCCTTGTTCTTCTACCCACCCAAGCCCAAAGTGGACCTGTCCAGAAAATAACTTCCACTTAAAATCTCTACAGGATAGTTACTGAAAGGAAAACTGAGCCCCAGAACACCCACTCCTGTGATGGCCAAGAAGGTGAGGCCTAAGAAGACTCACTTGCGGATCTTCATGGCCTCTTCGTTGTCGTGCCGGAAGAAGTCGTAGGACTTATAGGACTTGACTGCTTCACGCCGATAAACCCCAAGATTAAACACTGCAGAAGACACAAACGCCCTTCAGCAGTGAAACAGCACAATGAGGAACACCAAAGGGAACATCCTGATCTAATGTCAGAGTGGCCAAGGTGATGAAAAAAGCACCAAGGTATGCTGGGAACAATACCAGATTAAAGTTAAGTTGCACTCAAGTTCAGACTTCTCAGACCTCGAGAAAATTTTAAACTGACTCTTCTTCAATTTCCTCAGCCACTTCTGCTATTTCACAGGGGTACTGCTAGCATTAAACAAGATGATATGTATGTAAGGGCTTTGAAAATGTAAAGTGTATACCATCAAAGGCATTTCCTTACAACTAGGCCAGAAGGAAACAAGTCTGTGAACAGGGAATAAATTCAGTAAATCAGGAAGCAACCGCCATTGCTGCCAACAGCACCCTCTAACCTTGATACCAAGAATAAATCCCTCAGAGGCCTGTGATCATTTCCCTTCCCAAAGAATGAATGAGCTGCACCTACCTTTGGTGGGCACCCCAATCCAGTTGAGGTAGCGTGTGAGTTTCTTGGACACATAGGTTTTGCCCCGGGCTGGCAAGCCAATCATAACGATGAGAGTGGGGGAGTTGGTCATGTAGGATGCCCACGCTAGAACAGAATAGAACTAAATGACTAGGGGCCAAGTAAGGTTCATGCCCTGGGCTATCAACTTCATAGTTATAATATTATTTAATCCCCATAAACCTCAGTGCGGTGATGGTCGAGACAGGGAAGACAAAGTGAGGAATTATCAGGCAAACCCTCCTGAAAGAGCTAAAGGGTCATATAGACTTGCAGAAAGTCCCCAAAAGAAGAGATGTTTTTCCCACATGATCGAGGTCTTCACAGAGGTACCCAAGGGGGAAACAGTTCAAAAGATAGTAACCATGGCACCTTGCTTAACACAAGAATGATGCCGCTGTGTCTGGAGACCCTACCAGTGCAGAACTGAGCAGACTCCTATACAGGCCCAACAGAGTGTCTCAGCTGAGGACCTCACTTACCCCTTCAGAGCCATGGGCAAGAATTAGCTTGCCCACCACAAAAAGAGCCTGGTTTCAAGTTGTTTAGGCCTTGCACTCAGGACATGAACTTAAGTCAGAATTTCTAAACCACACTAAGATGTAGACTACTGTGGGAAAGCCTACTACACACAGGTTTGACTAGACCTCAGGAAGTTTTAGTAAAGCTAAGCCCACAAGGGCATCACAGCCAGCCTGCCTCAATGGCCCTTATGAAAGCAGGACAATTTAGAAGCAGGAATCGGTCCACCCTTCCTTAAGAAACTTATTTTAGGAATACTGCTTTATCAACATAGGTCTCACTGGACAGGCAGGGCAAACTAGATACTCAGAGTCAGTCAGGTGACTTGCCTCTGGACACACAGTAAGACATAGGCAGCGCGGGCAAGAGTCCAGATCTGGTGCTTCCTCCGTGGCTTTTCTCCATAAAAGACCCCGTGATTTCTCTTCAGCGTGCTCACAGGGTCTGGCTCAGCAGGAGGGGTAGGTGAGGGCCCCACACTGCTGCCAGCCACTCTCCTAGGGCCAAGACCCAAATGAGGTCATCTGGGAGGCTCAGGCTCTGCTGGCTGCTCCACATGAAAACTGACGACAGGAGGTGGAAAAGAACCACCGTGGCTCCCCAGCACTGCCTTCCCAAGGGTGCCCTGCAAACTGCTGCTGCTGCTCTATCCTGGGACTAGGTGGCCCTATAAGGCTAAAATAGGGGTACTTGGATGGAAACGCCATCTTTTATCTGTTGGGAAAAGAATGTAAAAAGATCTCAATGGAAAACACAGTTCCCTAGGGGTGTTTGGCAAGAAGTACTCAGAAGACAAAATGTGGCCCAAGTGGTGAGGGAGGGGTAGGCTCAGGGACAGAGAGGGCCTGGCTTTTGTCCTTTACCCATTGTGCACATGGGAAATGCCTGGCCTGGGCACCAGAAGTGATTTTCACCTGTCCAAATCTGCAGCACAGAGGTGAGGGAACTCACCTTGCAGCCTCAGCTAATGTTAATCCCTGACTTGACCCACGTCAGGCAGATCTATCTACCTGGGATCAGCTGCCTCAGGTTTTGGTAGCTAAATCCTCCTGAGTCTTCACTTTCTCCAGCTCAGTGCCTCACTCTTCTGCTCAGTCCCCCATGATCTGGCTCATTACCTGCACTTCTAGGCCTGCTTTGTCACACCTTCCAGCCCATTAGGCACCTCCCCAAAGGTCCTGATACCCTCCCTAAGGCTGAAAATGCACTAATACTTGGGAGGTAACCAGCTGCTCTGTGTTTACCAAACTGGACAGAGAGGGCTCAGAACAAAAGAAAATACAGGTCTCTAAGGTCTCCCCACAGTGCCCCCCACGACCACACTTCCCGCTTCTGACCACAACACACCCACACACATTGCCAACCAGGATTTCTCATTTTCCGGAATACAACCCTAAATTACACTTCCTATCTCAAATTGCCACATGAGCGGAACTAGGAACATACTGTCCTGCCTATTAAAAAATAAAACCACCACCACCACCTTAATTTCAATAGTAAATATTTCATGCTGATTAATTCCAGAGACAATGTAACACATCCCTTGGAAAATGGAAAGTTGTTTCAATCCTGAAATTCTCTTCTATCTTCTTTAAACAAGGTTTAACTCACTTTCTCAATCTTAGACTTGTTTTCCCTTCATGAACACACTTAGGGGAGGTGAGAGCTTGATTAAGTTTTCTCCTATAGACAGAAAAACTCAAGCTCAGAGAACTGAAGTGCATGGCCCACAGTAGAAAATCAAGGTCAAGGTCCAGGCTCTGACCAGACTCCTGGTTTCAGAACCACCCTTCCAGCCCCAAGCCCCAGGCACAAGCTCTGGTCAGCAGTTGACGAGGGGAGCCCTGTGGTGAGCACAGCTATGCGGTCTAACCAGTTCCTAAAGAGTGGTCTAGAAGACCAATGGTTCTCAGCCTTTTCATGACCAAGGTCTTCTTCCACTATTTCTTCTAAGTAGACCCAACATTTTTGGAAATATGCTGTCCATTAAATTGTGTTTCATTAGTAATAGCTTATTTTTATTTATCAGGAGTCCTAAAACTGCCAACTATTTCCTACTATTTGACTGATAGGTATGAAATATCCAAGTTGTACAGCAAAACACTAAAAAAGTTAATGTTTTCAATAATCAGTGCAGCTGTAATTACTAATGCACAAGTTCTTTAAGTACTTTGAAACATTAAAATCAGTTTACAATGTAGAACTTTATAGGACAGTATATTAATAATGCTGATCAACATTTTAAATGAATCTATCTTTTCTTTTATTATTTCTGTAGAAAAGTTGCTGGCACACACATGCAACAGTTGTGTGCAGTGTTGCTTGTGATGGTAGAAAACTGGAAACGGAAATGTCCATCAGCGGGAGACTGGCATGTCCATACCACACAACCCTGTGCAAAAGGAGGTAAATCTGGATTTACTGACATGAAAAAAAATGTCCCAGACATAGTAAGTTTTAAAAAGGAGGGAGAGAATGGCAGAAGAACCAAATATGTACAGTGTGAACCTTTTTTCATTAATAGGATATACCAGAATAAGATGCTGGAAAGAATTAGACTTAACAGAGACAGGAGAAATTGTGAGGGATTTTTTACTTTTTATTTCCTCTCTGTATTGTTTGAATAGTTTATGAACATGCATTGCTTTTGCAGCTAGGGGAAGGTACACATGGGAACTTGTCAGTCCCAGACCTATTAAGATACTAAAGAATAGACGAAACAAAGAGAGAAAGGCATGTAGACCTCTCCCTGCACACAACCCTGCTTTCATTAGAGCCCTGATAGCAGCCATCTGAGCACCTTAAGGACACCTCAGCCATCAACTCCCCTTCACCCAAATCCCTGGAGCAGCTGAACTTCCAGTAAGGTTCCTTTGGAGGTTTTGGCTCCCTAAAATAATTCTTCCATCCTCCAGCTCACTCACTTCCTAGAGTCAAAGTCAGACAACACAGGTGTAATTAGCAGCAAGAAAATTCTAGTTGAGCTATTAATAAAGCAACTGGTGGGTGTGAACACTGAGCAGCCGAGGGAGCCTGTTCCAAGATATAGGCAAATGACAGAGAAAAAGGAAATGAACTAACACAGATTCTCGTAACTGTATTTCTCCTTTGACTGTGGCTGTAACAGTCTCATAGTCTAACCAGGAGGGGAGAATGGGTTAAATGAAGGACACTGGCTATAGGATAAACCAAATGTTACAAGTGACGCAGAACAGGGTGGAGCTGGGAAAGGAGAATCAGAGCCCAGACCAGGAGTTAGAGTCCAGAGGACTAGAGACCTGGAATTACTGCTTCCTTGGCTAATCAAAAGCTCTCAAGGCAAGAAAAACTGCAGAAGAGTCAAGACAAGTAGGAGATTCCTTTGGAGAACAAAGGACTGACACTAGGCATTGTGTAAGATCAGACTCCCACAATTATCAACTCCCCCCACACACACACATACCAGCTCTCTGCACACTTCTAAATCAAGTGCACCTCTCCTTGAGATGTGCATCTGTACCCCAAAACTAGGTTACAATATTGTCAAACAAGAGGAGAAAGCATTCTTTACTGAAAATATAATTCCTCACAGAGTTCTTTTAAATAGTGAGCTCCCAGCACAGCATTTAAATCTACACTTCAATTTTCATATAATATTTCAAAAATAAACACAACATGCAAATAGAGTCACCGGTGAAAATAATGCCACTATAGCTATGTGCCCAACACTCTCGTAAGTGCTTTCCTGTATTTACTCATTTAATTACCACATCATTCTGGGGGGAGGTACTGTCAGTGTCCCAGTCTTGTAAAGGAGTAAACTGAGGGATGAAGAAGATAGGCAAAGTTGTTCAAGGGCACACAGTTAGGAAGTATCAAATCCCAGATTCAAACCCAAGCAGTCTGACTCCAGTGGCTTCTCTGAAACATCACACTATATTAGTTATCTCCTGTGGGGTATTTGCCCTCAGCAACTAGCTTCCTGCCCTGGCAGAGAAAGGACACCCAAATCATAGAAGCACGCCAACCCCAGTATCACATCCCGACAACCTGCCTCTGTTACAACCCAAAGCCCCGCAAGCCTCCTCAGAGCCAGGTGAAAAGAGATTATAGTCATTAATCATGAGACTGACAAGGGCATGACATCAAGGTCAAGACTCTGGAGAAAGCTTTGAACATGAGAGGATTCCAGATCTCATGCTGCTCAGCTATTTCCACCTGCTGATATATATAACCACTGAGGTGAAAAGAACTAACTGATAAGGTTCCAAAGGAAAAATGCAATCTGGAAGCCGGGGGAAGGCTTAGCATTCTTTTAGGTTCCCCAAGACATATGGGGCTCAGTGATTCAGGACCTTCTGGAACCTGGCTATGGACTGTTGAAGTCTATGATGCTTAAGAATGCAGATGCTTCATCTCTCAGCAATCCCACCTGCCATCTCTGTCTAAAGAATCGGCGTTAAAATACTTGTGTGAAAACTGTCCCCAGAGGGATGAACTAGTAGGGAACATGGTTTGCAAAGTTCAAAGGCTAAATCCATGAAAAAGTAAGTACCCAAAACACAGTGAAAAGTTAAACGTTAGGGCTGATTCCACTGACAGTTGTAGAAATGAGCTATGGCTCCCAGGCGCAGTTTTGGGGTTTGTTTTTTTTTTAAGATTTTATTTATGTATTTTTAGAGTGAGAAGAAGGGATGGAGAAACAGAGGGAGAGAAACATAAATGTGTGGTTGCCTCTCACATGCCCCCAACTGGGGACCTGGCCCACAACCCAGGCATGTGCCCCGACTGGGAATTAAACCGATGACCCTTTGCTTCCCAGGCCAACACCCGATCCACTGAGCCAGCCAGCCAGGGCCTTATCTGCCATTTCTACAATGAATCGCACCCTCACAGTATGTAGCCCAAGAAACAAAGGTTTTGCGTACTGCCACTCGGCCTTACTCACCAAGTTGTACTAATAATGTTTGCCCTAACTTTCAACAAGTATGCAGATTTCAGGAGACAGAGATTCAGTAAAACAAAGCAATAAGAAAATGCTGGGATACACCAACAGTCTAGCCCCAGGGACAAATATTTCACTGGGTCTAAGTTGTTTCAGACAGGAACTTTCCCTTGCAGACTCTGTTTTAAATTCCATACCAAAGAATTATTTCCCACTCCCACCAAGCAGCAAAGCCTAGGATTACAACAATATTCCCAAGATAAAATTCAAGGAGAGAGCAATCCCTCCTTTCTGCCAGAACTTACAACATTTCTTCTCTGATAATCGAAGAATTGAGGTTTTTATTTCATTGCTGCTATTCTGTTCTGAGGAAGACGCACTATTCGCAGACATGGCAGTTCTTCAGGAGATGTCTGCAAGGGACAAAAGGGATGTAAGAAAGGGAAGGAAGAAGACATCCTTCAAAACACTCAATGAAGAGGATCAGTGTGGAAAAGTGAAAACACTCTGGGCCAAGAGTCAGGATCAGCCCTCTTTCTCCAGTTAATAGCTATATGCCCTAGGATAACTCATGAACTCTGAGTCCTCTGTTTCCTCCTATACATATAAATACAGCACTAGAACCTTGTATTTATAATGCTGATTTAGGAGTTATATTCACATAAATTATTTCCCCAGTCCTTCCAATACTCCCATAGTAAGGCTACCATTATTACTTCTCCCCATTTTACAGGCTGAAAAACTGAGGTCAATCAATTTAAGTGGTTTATCCAAGTTCCTTCCTGACCTCAAATTCTAGTTTAAGAACCTGGGGGGAACAGTGGCAGTAGTTGGTGTGGGATGGATTGTGAACAGATAAAGTTCACTATCACAAAGAAATGGCTGTCCAATGGTAGGATTCAGTCCTGCAAAAAAAATGAGAAAGTGGGAAAATATCAAACTTGTTTCCAGAAGGAAAAACTGTAACTGGACACCCCATTTCTAGCACAGCACCATTTCTCCTCTTGTGCTCTTACTCTCAAACTCTTGCTCCGCACCCTCTCCCCATCTACCCGTTACAAAGTCTATAGAGGGAACACTGGGGCACAAAGGAGCGGTAAATGACTTCCTCAAGGTCACCTACAGAATAAAGGTAAAATCCTGACTTGAACTGGAGTGGGAGAGCCCCGAGCTCACCCCCAAAACCAGACAAGGAACTCCTGAGGAAAGAAGGTCCTAGTGCTTTAAGGATATTGCACTGTTCTTCCACTGACCACTCAAATCCTCCAATCCAAACACCAGCTTCGATTCCAAGTCTCTGAACGTCTACACTCCGGGCTAGGTCTGGGGACCGGCACTTCCCCGAAACAGCAAGGCACCATCGTCACGCACCTCATCCGGGTGCACGCAGCCCCCCTCCTCCGGACCTCCCTGGGATCTTCCAAGAGCTGTACAGCTGTCGCTCACCCTATGATCCCTAAAGTCCCTCCTGGCAGTGGCCCCGGCACTTCTCCCGTAACGCGACAGACAAGAGCCAACAGACTGTGGCCTGGGGGCCCGGTACACTCGTCGCCAGCAATTTTTGTGCCACAGCCTGGCTCCACCCACCCCCACGTTGGTGCTCACCTGGAGAGAATCATCGACCAATCCAGGGCCCGCACACTCCAAGGGGCGGGGCTCAAATACTAATCCCGGTACCGGCTCTGGAAGGGGGATAGAACTGTGAAAGGGAAAGAGTGCAGGTCCCCCTTTCCCTGCGCCGGGGAGGTTGGTTGCGTCGTTGCTTGGCAACTAATAGGGCTGGGGGCGGGGTTTATTAAAAGCTTACTGTTTTTATACTCTCGCGAGAGTGGACTAAAACGTTGAGGGGGCGTGGCTTTTATGACGAAAAAATGTAGCGCCGGTTAACCCTTCCATGAATCTCAGTGGTACCTCGTGAGAGTCATAAATTGGAACGTAAACTTTAGAAGGTTCTTGGCTAGAGTAATCTACCGCAATACTTGAGCTGATTACATATATCCTTCCCCGTGGCCAGACACTGTAACTTTAGAAAGCCAACTAATCGCTGAACCGCGAGCTTCCCTGGACCCATTTACATACTCCAGTGGACTTCTAACTACCTTTATTCTCGCTCCTTCCTCCCACGCTATACTTTCTATTATGGTCATATTGAAGAACAAAAGAGGAAAACGCTCCAGCAAGAAAGTAGGTCATGAAAGATGTGAAAAGATTCAAAGCTTTCATATAACTTATTCAGGGGTAGAGGCTTTTACAGTGGAGGTGAGTTTACACATTTCATGTGAACTTTTCAGTTGCCCCAAGTCCGTTTGGTGCTTGATTCTGTTGATAAACCTCCTCCACGCAGGTCTGGGCTTGTGCTCTATCCGGATGGGAAAAAGGAAAAAACAATGAGTATGGATTTCTCGGAAGAGAGGTAAGTTCAGAGATGTCTTTATTCCTCCACCTGGGGATTAAACTCATCCTCTAACCATCTCCAACAGTATCTCTTCTTTAAGGCCTATTACAACTCTCAGTATATCATAGTTGCACTCCGTGCCTATACAAGTTTCTTTATCCATTCGGCAAGTGTTTATTGAGCGTTTTGTTGCTAGGCACGGTCCTTGGTTCTAGGGACACAGGGTTGAACAGGGTCATATAATCTAGCATTATCATGTTGCTGTGAAATTCGGTGGTTATGTGTTCTTCACACCCCACCCCCTCTTCCGATTACAGTGATTACTTATAATGAAGGCAGGAGTGGAATCTTCATGTTTGTATACTCAGAGCCTGAACTGGAATGCGGGTGACACACACTAGTCTTCTTCGTGCCTTCTCCTTATACTGCCACCGCCTCCCTGAAAGTATCAATTGCCCTAGGGCCTCGGGCAATAGCTCAGTGTGAGGCTGACCTCATACTGCTCTTTCTGATGTGGCAAATGGACGTTTTCAAGTTGCAGTCCCTTGCAGGTGGAAAGGCCAGTCATCCCTTAACCTCAATGAGTCAATGTTTGCTGTAGCCATGAATTTATTCACGAGTATCTGGTTGTTTCTGGCAGGTCCTTTGACTCACTGACCATTCTTGGCATTCATTTGCGTTCTGAACTATGATTCTGTTTCTCCCAGGGTGGTTTAGAAGCCCCAACTTAATAATTTCCGACCTTAGTAAGTGCAAGATTACATTCCAATGTACTGGATTCAGCAGCTCCTTCCCCGCCCTCTTTCCTTGAGCATATATGCTGCCGACGCGGAGGGCACCTCACTGGCCTTACAGGTAGCAAGCCTTTTGTTCTTGAGGAATACTGATAAATCTTCATCCTTCGGCTCCTGAAGGGTGGGGTCAAAAGTTAGTTGTCACTTTAAGAGAGTTCGTTCTGCTTAAGGTGCTTCAACAGAAGCTGCGCCAAAATATTGCGATAACAGTAGCCACCAGCGACTTCTCGCGATGTTTGGCCCGGCAAAGGGTGGCCATTTTGGATCCTACTCCGCGGCTGATTGTCCCGGCGGCGTCTTCCATCCTGCTGCCGGGACCAAAGCTGGCCCCACTGGTGCCTGGCCTATGGGTGGCCTAACCAACACAATGTGGCGGCTCCGCTGCAAAGCCAAGGATGGCACCTATGTTTTGCAGGATTTGTCCAGCCAGACCCGGGTGCGGGAACTCCAGGGCCAAATTGCTGCAATCACCGGGATCGCCCCTGGCTGTCAGCGCATCCTGGTCGGATACCCACCCGAGTGCCTGGATCTCAGCAACGGGGATACTATGCTGGGGGATTTGCCCATCCAATCAGGTAAGGGGATCGAGGCTGGGGACGGGAAGTCCTGAGAGGACGGCAAGGGGTGCGAGGGAGAAGAGAGATACGGTCAAGTCACAAGGACTGTTGGTCAGCCCGGGGCTTTGAGGACCAGAATAAGGATACTTTAAAGCACGGAGAATTCTGACGGAGGCCGGGACAAGTGTCTAGCAACCCCTTAACTTTACATGTGGTTGAAAGAGATAGAGAGGTTCCAAACTACGTGGGAAGCTCAAAGCCTTTGGAGTACCCCCTTCCTCCGTCTTTCTGGTTTGTCTTGAACACTTGTCACTCATTTGGTTTTCCCTCGGCATCCACAAAAGTATAAAAAAAAGTAGGACCTATTTTCTTTGTCCTGATGGTTCTTTCCCCTTTTATTACTGAAAGAAGATAGCAGGTCTGAAGGACGCAGGATACTTCTGGTTTATTTGTAATCACCTGCGTATAAACTGACTTTGACACGTGTACTCACTTTAGAGTTTGCCTTTACACATCCACTAAAGGCTCTCTCAAGTTCTAAACAACAGCAGCTATTCCTGTCCAGTATTAAAACTTGAATAGCAATATTGTTCATTAAAATTTTCTGCTGCTGTATCCAGGATCCTGTAAACACTGAAAAGGCTAGATAACTTTCAGAGGGAGGAGAACCCCCTAGTGGCCTAGTCTATGATAAACACCTTTTGGAAGATTTGTGCTTTTTAAATACAGAGCATAGGGAAATTTTATTCTTTAAATGTATTTTTTTAAGTAACTATAAAGGTGTATAACTCAGGCCCCCTCACAAAACTGGAATGCAACCTGAAGTGTTTTTGCTCTTTGTTTTGAACTTTATGAATATTCAGTGAGTTAGAAGTATATTCCTGGTCACTTGTTTGCAAAACTATATTCTCCCTAGCAGCCCCAGCTTATACTTTAACTCCTTCTGTTTGTAATTTACAGACTTGGCTAGTGAACATTCAGTGTAATCTATAATTTCTCCCCAGTTCTGGATGTGTTTTATTTTTAACAGGCGACATGCTGATTGTTGAAGAAGACCCAACCAGGCCCCACAGTTCACCTGCGTTTACCAGACACGGTGCTCCTAGTTATGTCAGGGAAACTTTGCCTGTGCTTACCAGAACCGTGGTCCCAGCCGACAACTCTTGCCTCTTTACCAGTGTATACTACGTTGTTGAAGGAGGAGTCTTAAATCCAGCTTGTGCCCCTGAGATGAGACGCCTCATAGCACAAATTGTAGCCAGTGATCCAGATTTCTATAGCGAAGCAATACTAGGAAAAACTAATCAAGAGTACTGTGAATGGATCAAAAGGGATGATACTTGGGGGGGAGCTATTGAGATATCAATTTTGTCTAAATATTATCAATGCGAAATATGTGTAGTAGATACACAGACAGTAAGAATTGATCGTTTTGGGGAAGATGCGGGATATGCCAAAAGGGTCCTGCTTATTTATGATGGCGTCCACTATGACCCTCTTCAGCGTAACTTTGCTGACCCAAACACCCCTCCTCTGACCATTTTCTCCTCTAATGATGATATTGTTCTTGTACAAGCACTGGAATTAGCAGATGAAGCTAGAAGAAAGAGACAGTTTACTGATATAAATCGCTTCACCCTGCGATGCATGATATGTCAAAAGGGACTAATTGGACAAGCAGAAGCAAGGGAACATGCCAAGGAGACAGGCCATACCAACTTCGGAGAAGTGTGATCTATGCATGATGAGGATTAAAGCCTACTACCTCACAGATCCAGAAGGTTCTGGGTCTTCCAATAAGCTATTCACAACCCTAAAGAACAAAGGATACAATGCTTGAACCATCCTTTTAACTTAAAACCACTAAGGCACTGAAATTCCTTGTTAAGATTAAAATTGGTGTGCAAGTTTACAGATGTGTGTCTAGAGCGGTGATACGTGCCCTCTTTCTGCTGGGGTGACAATTGATGGTCCATGCTACCGACGGACACTAGCCTGAAGATTGAGTTTTAGTATTATAAACTAGCACCCAGCAGCATTAGCTTGTAGAAGAAAACAGCATCATATTTTGGGTAATGCAGAAGTCCTGGTATGAAGCCGTCGGACATAAACCACAATGTCTCCAATAATTAAGTCCTTTTAAAAACTCTGAGCTAAGAGTTTCTAAATTATGAATTGATTCTTCACATGAAGATACACAGAATTGTCAAAACTGATTTTATATTGAAATTTGGTAGACTTTGTAAAATGTGTACTTAGCCAGTTGTAAGTACATAACAAGCATCTTGACAGGGATGAGTCTGTTCCCTAACAACGTTACCTAAAAACAGGAATGGATAGTGCCCAGTTTAGGAGATCTAGTGTATAAAAGTAGATTGTGTGAGGGAAAAGGTGCCTGAGCAGCTTATTGAAGCTTTAAAAGACCATTGGCCTCGTGTTTTAATGAAATTCATTTATTAATCTTTGTCAAATTAGATAAAATTTAAAATTAAGCAGGGTATGTTTTTCTAATTGAAGTTCTATAAAATTGGAGTGCTTGAATTTTGCTTTTTTACACAAAGATTTGGAGGGATTTGAATTCTTCAGCTTTTTGTTAAGAGACTTCCTCCAACTCCTAAAGAAATGTTCATCTAAAGGTGATAATGATATGCTTTGGTTTGATTTTTGTGAGATCTTTTGCTTATCTAAACAGTATTTGTTTTCTCTTAGCCTTATCCTGCCACTGATGCTCTTTTAATAATTTCACCTTTCTGCAAATTGGCACTTTGCTTATCCACAATCTTTTACTTGGACTTCTGAGGAGTTTTAATGTAATTGGGATAATAATATTGAAAAAATTAGTTTCACAAAAATATGACAGTTTTTAAATTCTTGCCTTACCTGAATAAGCTTCTTCCTAATATTAGATGTGTAGCCATTTGCTTGGTGGGCTAATCCTTAAGGCAAACCCTCTAAAACTTAGCTTTACTATGAGATCTTCCAGATAAAAGTTTTCTACCTCTTTTTATAAATCTTCTGAAGATCAGGGATGCAAAATTATAATTTGTTATGTATTATCTCACATAATGTGAAGAGGCTTAGTGTTGTGAAGTTTTGTTATATTGGTCTCATTTTTTTAATTATTTCACTTAGAAAACCAATGGTATACTTTAAAGCACTTAAATCTCTCTATATCTTCTTGACAAATGTTAAAAAATTGATATTTACTTTTAGCATTTTTCACTTGGTGAAGGTGGCCATATTAAATTAGGGAACATGTAAACAATTTAAGGGGAAAGTACCTTTAAGGAACAATTCACGAAGTATGCTTGAAATCATTAAATGACATGTTTTTGAGGAACTTTTGTATGAATAGCTGCTTTAGGCAAAAGTTGTTATGGTCAGTATAACTTAAAAGTATTTAATTTTCTATTTTACTGAGCCTTAAAAATAACACTTGTGAGTTTGTGATATTTAATGTTTGACAGTCATAATATGTATAGATGAATATGATTGAAAATCTCTTAGTACCTGTCTGTCCTCTAATCTAAAAGGTTTTTGTATCATTCATTTCCCCCAGAACATATTAAATTTAAAACTGTAAGTTGATATAACCCTGGGTAGCATCCATCACATTGTTTGCCTTCTTTTCTTAGGTACTTCTAGAGAAATACATTTATGCAACAAATGTTTATTGAATAACTGATAATCTACCAGGCATCTATTGATGTGTTTTCCAACAGAATTTCTTTCACTTTAAAATTGAGTGTACTCTATCTACACTGGATTACATTAACAAATGGAAAGAAAAAGGACCTGATACTTTATAAAATTAAACCCCTCAATCTTAAATACTTTTGTTTGCATGTTTAAGCTTACACTATTACAGCAAGTGTCAAGTGTTTATGTAGGGGTTTTATTTTATTCTTGTTTACCTGTTATCTAGGTGGTCCACCACCTGGAAACTGATAGTCAAATTGCTTTTTAAATTAATCATCTACTGAAATTCAGCAGTAGGACTTTAATGTTCTGATCACGGAAAATTTGAGATTGCAGATTATTTGATTTAATCATTGAGGATTAAACCCTAAGCTTGTACTCATTCTAAACTCATTTATTATGAGCCTCACAGAATGTAAGAGTTTTTTACTGCACTTACTAAACTCTTAAAATTAGTGAATTAACATGTAAATTCTAATCCTGAGAATTTTTAAAACTTAGGGATTTAGTACTTTACTTGCAGTAGGATTAAAACACTTTTTTTATTATTATTTATTGATTTGAGAAAGAGACAGAGAGAGAGGAAGAGAGAGAGAAAGAGAGAAACATCAATAGCATATCAGGATGATACTGTCAACAACTGAGCTACCTGGCAAGGCCAGAAACTTTTTCTCAAGTTTGCACTTGAGCAGAATGAAACCCTTCCTAGTCATCATTTTTAACCACCATATGAGAACTTTCTTTTTTAATTAAAATGAGAATTGTTTACATTAGTGGCAAAATGGAAATTGTGCTTTTCCATTCCTCACTTCTTTCTGTTACTCTTCTTCCCCTTACTCTCCTTTGGATTTGAAAATTAGGTGTAGGGCTCTGAAGATGCACTTCTAGATAGAGTGATTTCAGAAGTTGAAATGATATCCTTGGGAATTTTGTGATTTGACAGCCATATGAAGACACCAGTGTGGTACATCTGTTACTGGCTCATGGCTGATTTTTAATTATTTCCCATGATTGAAAAATGGGCATAGTCAAGGGGTACCCTTGAAAGCTGCTGAAAGTTGGCTGCTGGTTTGCTTGACCCTCTTGGCAAAACCTACTCTAGTTACGCCACTTAATTATTACATGAAGTTCAAGTTCCCACAGAATCAGGAATGAGTTAACGTTATTTTATTTATCTATACACGCCCCTAAGCACCCATGCCCATCTTGCTTATCAAGTTTATTTTTTCCTATGTAGACTTTCTTCACAACTTGGATGTTGCAAGTTGCCCCTGCTAAACATAGTTTTCTATGTCTTTGAAAAAAATTCAACTGGGGAATATGTAAGATCAGCCACAGAGAGATGGTTTTCTATACAAATCAATGAGGTAGCCTTCCTAAACTTCCATATATTAAGATTGATATTGTTTCATGTGTTGAAATATGCATTTTGAATTATTTGCTGCACTTTAAAAATATGAAGTAGAAGTTTACATGTTAGGCCTCTCCAGGGAATCTTACTAAAGACATTAAAATATAATCCTTGAGCTGCTTACAATCAGTTCTTCATAAGCAACAATTACCATCAGTGTATATTGTATCCAGTAGTACAACATTCTGGTGTTTTGATAACAATAGCACTCAATTTCAGTAACGATGAGAAGCATGCTCAGTGCCCTAGCATTCAAAATGTTACCTATTTCTATAATGTGATTGTTCTTTATCCATTGTACAGTGCAGTTGCAAATTTGTCCTTTTAGCACAAAGATGACTTAACTCTGAAAAGATTAGATTCTTAAAACTTCCTTTGTTTTAAAGCAGACTTATTTTAAAAGAGCTGATTTTTAAGTCAGAGGCCTCAAAAGTACCATACATAATAAACAACATTGTTAAGACTACAGTTGAAGCACTTGATGAATAAGCTAGTTTACTAACTAAAGATGTTTTCTTACTAAAAGTTATAATATTTTAGCACATTTCATCCAACTTAGAATATAAAACTTCCCTGGTTGTGGGAAAGGGTTTTATTTTTTTCTTCTCCAAAAACTGGCTGGTGTTTTGTTTACAGTGCTAGGACTAATTAACTTTGAAGAAATTATTGCATTGATACTGAATTGTGAGGTCCTGATTTAGGAGATTGATAACCCTCCCATGCCATTTTAGAGTGAGGGGAGAAAGGGGCGGGAGGATAGAATACCACTTGAATAGAGGAGACCCTCAAATGGATGCATTCCTAGTCATGAATTACACTTTTTGGGAAATGCCTTTGTGTCACCTTAATCCTGTCCCCTGACCCCACCCCCCTCCACCCCCCCATTTCTAGGCATAGAATGTAGCAGGATCATAGCTGGAAAGCTAGTGATTAAAGTATAAAACCATGACTATAAGCATTTTGGTATGATGCCTTTTTATACTTTTTAAAAAATACAAACCTACAACTAGGAGTTTAGGAATAGTGAAGATAATGATTTAGTTAAGTTGTAGGTTAAAAAAGAAAACGTTAAACTAAGAAAGCTTTAGAATCTCTACTGAGACACATAAGCTGGACTTTATAGCTGATGTAGGATGTGTAGTTATTTGCAGCCAATGAGCTACAAGGACCAGGGTACCTGATTGTTGTCAGTTTCCCAGTTCACCATGGTGCCATTCAGGATCCAAGTTGTTTACAGGAAATGTGATTTCCTGAGCAAAAAGTAATTCTTCCTTTAAGAAAAGTAAGAATTCAGCTTAAAATACAAAATAAATATGTATATTTTGTTGAGCAATATATTTCTGTATTAATGCAGTAGAGGAGGAATGCCTGAAACAAGAAGAAAACCACAAAACTGTCAGACTTAGGGCTTTTGACCATGACTTGAAAAAGTAGCATGGAAGAGCAAAACAGAACAAAGTTCTGCTGTTCTTGTTATAAGAAAATAGTGTTCATGAAATGGACAGTGTTTTCTTGTTTTAAAAATGTTCTCTTGTCTATTTGCCACCATTTTTTCAAAGTTAATGCACTGCTGCTAAAGATGTCAGTTTTATTTTGCACACCCCTTATGTGCTATTGCCATTGTCCTTAAGGTGCATTGATTTTATTTATAAGGTGTGTGATTTTAAGTATCCAAATGCTGTACGAAATGACTTGTTTTCAATGAATAAATGAAGTGAAAATATTGTTGTCTGAGCATATTTTGTGGTGAGGGTGGAGGACCAGTGAACAGCTGCTACACTCAAGTTACATAGTATTTATCATCAAAAGCTAATAAACCACTGCTTTGACTTGTGTACCAGAATCTGCCAATCTCACTCTGTGGGTGGAGTCTTAAGGACTTTGACAGTAGAATCTACCGTGTTTCTTCTTTGTAACACCAGAGGGCATTTGTAATTTCCTTGACACATTTTCTGACATGCAGTCAGCTCCTAGGGGTTGTAATTCAATGCCTGTTGCTGACAAATTATCAAACTAGAAAGGCTGAATATTCTCTTTCGTTTATAATAGAGAGCTGTGTGAATTTCGATCTGTTTGGAAACTGCAACATCTCTGCAGGAGACTACTTAATCTTTGGCAATATTGACATTTAGACATTTATTGGAAGCAGCATTGGACTTACTAGACTTGGCCAGTTTAGGCTCTAACTCAATTGAGCTATTGATACTTAATCCTTTCTTTCTCACTGAAAGCTTTAAAATTATGGAAATAGAACCATAATATAATTAATCAATTTGTGCACCAGGACAAAATACGTCTTCAGAATCAACATAAATCCAGCATAAGTCAAGCCGGACCTCATATTAAGAGACCTGTAAAGAATCTCATTGTGTGATGATAGCTACTTGAACAGGTAAAGGTCCCAAAGTGTGTTCATCACATTACCCCAGAACCTCAGAAAGTCAAAAATAAATGAAGTCAGCAATGTGTTTTAATGAGCCCTCCAGGTCATTCTGATGCATGATAAAGTTTGAGAACCACAAATGTAACCATGGCTGTTTAAACCTGTCGACTTGGAGAGAACTGTGACGGCTTACCAGTCCTATGTGCTTGACCTCATGCCATTCATTTTCATGCACAAGTTAAAGGCAGTTCACTAAACTTACAAATAATATAACTCCAGAGAAGACCAAAAGTACAATGAATGGCAATTCACAAATCTCAGCAGGCTGAAAACCCCAATACTGAATGCTCAGAAGTATGAAGTCCTGCCCTTCAGTTCTAAAACATTCCATTATGTGAGTCTACCATGGGGAAAACCTAGCTTTACGGTAGATTCGACAAAGAAATAGCAATATTTGACTGCTATTCTGATCCCAACAGAGTGATATGATTTGGCCTGCAGAAATAATTGCATTTTAATAGTTAAAAGATCTAGAAAAAAAGGAAGCAATAGAGTTAATATGCCCTGCTTTAGTCACATTGTGTTGGAGGGTTGATTGGCTAAGATTTTTACATGTAAAACATGAAGAAAACAATAAAGGATAACAACTGTTATGTGATAGTCGAAGGAACTGGAGATATTTACCTGGAGGAAAGAAGATGGATTTCAAATTGACATGATGGCTAACTTAAGGTTTGGGAACTACATGAAAGGCAAATTAGATTTATTCTCTGAGGCTCTGGACCAGCAACTTGCCACCAGTGTATCTCAAGAATTTTTAAAACAGGCAGTACCTGACTATTTAGTCAGAGCCACCAAACTCTTTTTACCTTAGATTGTCATATTAAAGAACAAATGACAACAAGGAACACAACAGTAGCCATCTGCTGTGAGTCAAAAGTACACCTAAGTTTTTATCCAATCAGCAAAAAAATATATTTTGTGTGTGTTGCAGAATTTTAGTAATTAGTGTGTGCTGAGATAACAAGAAAGTTGAAAATCACTGCTTCAGAGGAAAGAACTCAGACCAATAAGGGGTGAATACCACCAAATAAAATTCACCTTAGAAAACTTAATACAAATGGAAATGATGCTTCAATATTAAGCTCAATTATTATGATGTAGCCTCCTACATTATAAGAAACAAAGCTAGAAATCATTAAGAACCTGATCTCATGAAATTTTTGTTTCAAATGATAATTATAAAATGAATAGATAATGACAAAAAGAACTTCCCTGAGAGAAGGAGAAGCTTTTTTCTTTTTCTCCTCTCTACCATCCCATTATTGTTTGGAAAAGTGTATAGCAGAGGCTGCAAATCAGAACTTCTATATTTGGCAATAGTATACACTATGCTTATTGTATCTCTAAGCCTAAAATGAGAGGTTTAAGACTAGAAAAATGGGCATCTCGAATACTTTTTATACTTTAAAAATTTGTTCTGCTTGAATTGTCTTTTTCTCTTGTGATTATAGATTTCCAGGGCCTTTATCAGATATTGGGTGAAATAATTGCCAGCTTATGAGCATACTTCTCTAAACTCACTACAACTTTTATGATTTCCCTATGTGTGAGGTATTTTTTTATCCAGAGTTCTCTCTGCTTTAGTAGCTGCCTCTCTCTTAACTGTTTCTCTGCCTTCCTGTACTTCTAAAATCTCTTCTGTACACCAAGAAGACTTTTCTGATCTTACTCCATGGCATTCCTCTGTATTCAAATGAAGGGCTTTATTATTAAACCTTAAGTTAGTGGAGCAGGTGTCGCAGTGACTTGGCCATCTTCTAAAACCCTGAAGATGGCCTTCTTAAATAATTGTGGTAGGCCAGAAGCTATTAATTTGACATTAAAGCTTGTGTGTCCAGTTCAAAATCAGTGCTGAAGTTATTTCATATTCAAAATATAGACAAAATTATTCCTGACAACCCCTTAACTAGCTCTATATTATAGAGTGTATAGACATTACCATAACTTAGTAAGCAGCACAGCTAGTCCCCATGTCAGTGCTAGAAGAGTTCATGCTCACTTCTGGGGTGCAGCTCTTTAAGGTGCCAACCAACCTACAGTGAGTGCAGTTCGCTTGGTCCGATTGTGGGTGGATCCTGCAGTCCAGTCCCTGGTTCCCCGCTTCTGTGAAGCTGACAGAAGCACCCTTCAGTATCGCAGCCACCCATTCTGGAATAGAAGAATGTCTCCCAAGGAAAAGGTGGCCTCAAATGGTCATGCAGCCTCTCTCATCATTCTGATCCAGGCTTGGCAGCTCTTCAGGTTCTTCACTGTGTTTCTGGCTCTCCACTGCATTAGCAAGAAGAGTGTGTCAGAATTGCTTCGTCTGACATTACTGGAAATGGGAGTCTTCAGCAACACCTTTCTCATGGTAATAAGACACAACTCCCATAAAATTTATTTAAAAAGATATAATCTTGGAAATTGAAATATCAGGTATGAAGCAAATTACTTAACAAAATTTTTCCATCAACGGTGCGGGAAGAGGGGCTAGTAAGAATTATTGTCTAATTAGAACTGTCCAGAAGGAAGAGGCACTTCAGCAAACAACCATGCATATTTATAGCACAGTTTATTTCAGTCCCATTGGATATTTATACTGAATTAAATAGAAAATGTTTCTTTTATCATGGAATACATAATTTTTAATCTATTATGTGGGATATTTCACAAATTTATCCATCCTAATTTTGATTAATCTTTCTCTTATGAATTTCATTGGAGTGAATTAGTTCTCCCAGAGCTTGAAAATTATAAAGTAAACTAATCAAGTTTTTAAACCTACAAAACTAGGGAACAGACTTTGAATTATGTTGATCTACTGCCAAGTGACCCTTTCCATTGGATCCATTTTTTAACATCCAGCCTTATTTTTCTTACTCTTATCCTCTAACAATGAAGACTTAGAAAATGATCTTGGATTTGGCTAGAAGCACCTACAGTGATAATACATCTCAGATAAATTGTTAGGCAGTTTAATTTAACAAGCCTTTATGGAGCTTCTGCTTGTAAGATGCAGTATCAAATGCCTCAGGATTACAAGGATAGTCACTCACTCAATAAGCACTTTTGAATATTAATGTTTCAGGAACTGCCTTGGGTGCTGGGTGTACATCGAGGGTTTGGGGGAGGCACAAATAATGCTATAAAACAGAAATACAGGTGCCATGAAGACAATAATGAAGAGGGTGGGAGAGTCTATAAAAGTGATAAGTCTGGGAAAGCCTTTTTGAAAAAGTGACATTTAAGCTGAAACCTGAAGCATAAACAGGAGTTACTTGAAGACTAAGAACAGTATTTCAAGTAGGGACTATAGCATTTAAAGACACTATGTTGCAAGAGAAAATGAAATCTTTTCCAGATCAGTCTGTCCATAGCGTGGTAAACCAGAAAAGAAGGATATAAGGTGAAGTTTTAGAAGCAAACAAGGATCCAGATGTACAACATCTATAAGCCATATTAAGCACTTAGCTCTAATTTTTAAGTATTTTTTACCAATTACGCTATTACAGTTTTACCAATTTTTCCCCCTTTATCCTCCCTCCACCCTGTCCCCTCAACCCTCCAGCATGCTGCCCCCTCAGTTCATGCCCATGGGTTATACTTACAAGTTCTTCGAGTCCTCTATTTCCTATACCATTTTTTTATCTTTTTCCATCTATTTTATGCATACCAATTATGCTGCTTCTTTCCTGTACCTCTCCCCACCATTCCTCCTTTCCCCCTCCCCACTGAACTCCCTCTGTGTGATGTCCATTTCTCTGATTCTGTTCCTGTTCTGGTTGTTTGCATGGGTTTTGTTTTCATTGATTTTCTTTTCTTTTAGGTTCATTTGTTGGTAGTTGTGAGTTTGTTGTCATTTTACTGTTCATATTTTTTATCTTCCCTTTCATTTCATATAATAAGGGCTTGGTGATGATGAACTCCTTTAACTTGACCTTACCTGGGAAGCACTTTAGCTGTCCTTCCATTCTAAATGAAAGCTTTGCTGGATCTTGGCCATAGGTCCTTGCCTTCCATGACTTCAAATACTTCTTTCCAGCCCCTTCTTGCCTGTAAAGTTTCTTTTGAGAAATCAGCTGATAGCCTTATGGAAACTCCTTTGTAGGTAACTCCTTTTCTCTTGATGCTTTTAAGATTCATCTTTAATCTTGGGTAACTTAATGAGGATGTGTCTTAGTGTGTTCCTCCTTAAGTCCAACTTCTTTGGGACCATCTGGGCTTCCTGGACTTCCTGGAAGTCTATTTCCTTTGCCAGATTGGGGAAGTTTTCCTTCATTATTTGTTCAAATAAGTTT